ACCCTAAACTTAGGCCATACAACCCTAATGCACACGATAAACCCTAAAGGCCCTAAACTTAGGCCCTAAACCCTGTAAAACATGAGCTTCTCCGGGGCGCCTGTGGAGCGGAGTTCAGCAAACCCCTCTTGTAGAGGGGCTCCAAGCCTTCACGTGGTGTTTAGGGGGTTAAGCTTTAAGGGTTTAGGGTAGAGTTGGGGGTTTACGGTCTGGAGTCTAGGTTTTAAGGGTTTAGGGTTTACAGTTTGGGGCTTAGGCTCTAGGTTTTAAGGGTCTAATTAGGGGTTTAGGGGTTTAGGGGCTAGGTTTCAGGAGTTTAAGGTCTAGGATGCAGGGATTCAGGGTCGAGGGTCTAGGGGCTTAGGGTCTAGGTTTGGGGGCTTCCGGAGTCTTGCACCCGGTCCTTCTGCCGGCTTCAGCCCCTTTGGCGTTTGGATTTACAGGGGCCGTTTGAGAGTTTTAGCAGTTCTCCCTGTGGGAGCTTGCGACCATAAGGGAGCCTAATATAGTACCCTAAACAAAGGATCCATAGTATATTTTAATTGCTACAAGTTGTCTAAGGGCCCCAAAATTAAAAAGGCACCCCCTAATTTCGGAAAGCAACGTATGAAGTTGAAAAGCTTCTGATGAATTCGCTTTTCAAAGGTTCACAAGGTACGGGGGGAGGGGAATCTCGGGCCCTCTAGGGGTTTAGGGCCTAGTGTTTGGGGTGTAGGGTTGAGGATTTAGGGGTTTAGGATTTAAGGTTTAAGGGTTTACCTTAGGTATGTCGGGCTCGGGGGCTGCGCAGGGACAGATGTCCAGAAAACCCATTTGCCTTTGCGCTTGCCTGAAGTCGTTGCTGGGGTTTGAAACACGTAGCCCAATTACCCAAAGCCCCAAAACAGTAACGCACCTGACAATCCTCTCACGCAACAAGCTGAAACCTAAAATCTGCAAATCCCTGTAACTGTGGCATACTGCACTGAACCATGAAACTCCCGAAACATGAAAATTCCTAGATCCGATACCCGAAACCCTTAACCCGACGCTGCAAAAAAGATCCCTCAAACCTACGCCTGTAAGCCCACAAAACGCAGGAAGTTTACGATCAAGGGTGTGGGTGGCTCACAATCAGGTCCTAAACCCAAAAGCCGTAAACTTTGAACCCTCAGCCCTATGCCCTAAAGACCCCAGCACCTTAAAGCCTGAGGTCCTATCGCAAGAGTCGAAGGTGTTAGCGTTTAGGGTTTAGGGGTTTACGGGTTTAGAGTTTATACAGTACCTTTTCTGTCCTCCGAATCCCTGTGCGTTGGACTGAAACCTAGTCTTTGCTAAAACCGCTTCGCCGCTTGAAAGACGGTTTCGAATCAAACACTTCGCACAGGAGGAATGCCTGTGACTCAGGAAGCTCCTCTGGAGAGAAGGTCTTGCCCAAAACGGACATGACCTGCGCCCTCACCTCGGGGGTGTGCCTCACGGCAAACAGGACGCCAGACGCCTGTTCAGGGGTCAGTTTCTCTGAGGTCATACACATCCGCGCGACCAGCTTTCAGCCATTCTCGAAAATCGCGCTTCTTTGAGCGAGGTCGTAGAGATGGCTCGTAAAGCTCACACTATTCGAATCTCCCAGATTCGTCGGCCTGTCGTCGATCAACGCGCCCAACCGCTTGGCCTGCTCGACGTCCTCCTTGCTCATGGTTCCCTGTCCGTACAGGTCGTCGCCCCATAGCTACGGACAACGAAATTGTCCTGCTCATCTCAGTGAAGAGTCGAAGGTGTTAGGGTTTAGGGTAGGGTTTAGGGGTTTAGGGTTTAGGGTTCAAGGCTCAGGGTGTTAGGGCGAAGGGCTAGCTAGAGGTTTAGGGTTTAGGGGTGTAGACGGTTACAGTAAAAAACCCTTAGCCTTTTGGCCCGAAGAACCCAAGAACCCCCTAAACCCCCAAAATACTATTAGCACAACTCCAAAGACCATATCGAAACCGGAACGCACAAGAGGGTACCAAGAAGCCCCAAACCCTAAACTCTAAGAATGCAGCGAGAGCGGTTCCGAGGCAGTGCCAGCAGGATTCCGTGCTTAGGTCTTTGCAGGGTGCATAACACCCTCTAGACCCAAGAGTAACCTAGGAATAAAAGGGTGCCCTTTTTGGTTTGAAGGGGCTTATAAGTGGACCTGAACCCAAAAAATGGAATAAGGGCCTACTCTAGGTCCTGGCCCTAGGGATCAAAATCGCCCAAAAGCCTTATACAGTATGGTCTTTGGGCCCAAAGGCCTTAATATATGAGTCCTTAGATCCCTAGAAATATTGTTAGTGAAGTTAGGATCCGTCGGGAATCCCACACAACCTGAAACCCTAAACCCTAAACCCTGATACCCTAATACCCTAGCCCTATAGAAACCTAATACCCTAACCCTAAATCCCTAAAGCCGGAACCCTTAACCACCGGTCTGAGGCAGCAGCGGAAGATGTTCTTCAAGGCCTGGGTCGCTGTAGGCACTTTAACTCCAAGCTGAAGTCCGAAGCCACTTCGGGTTTAAGGTTTGGCGTTTCACTAAACCAAATAGACTAAGCAAAAACCTATGGTGTTTAGGGTTCCTGAATATGATGCCTCATAATGACTCCACAGAAATGTAGGTTGCTTGGGGTTTAGGAGGGGTCTATTGGTTTTTGGGAAGGGCCACCTTTTCCGACTGCAGACTACTAGTCCACTGAAGTCCTATAGTTAAACCCTAGACCCAAGACCCTCAACCCCAATACAACCCTAAACACTGAACCCCTAAACCCTGAACCCTGGACACCAAAAGCCCACTGCTCCCTTGTGGTCCAACCTTCCTTTGGCGCTTCCGGGTCCGGTTCAACTTAACTAAACTGAGGTACGCTTGAAGTTCCCTGGTTATAAGTTATAAGGGGTGCTGTGCTATGCTGCAGAGCTACACAAGGACCGGACTTGAAAGAACTACCCGCCCAGACCAGTACTCAAGCTCCTGGCCAGAATCTTGTTCCTCTTCTCCGACATCTTCTCTTCCTCCTGCAACACGCGCCCAATCAACCCAAGCGTTTTTGGGAAGGACCAGTACTTAACGACCCCTAAACACCCTCAACTCTGACCCCTAAAAAATTGAACCCAACCCTATCATGGAGCCATGGCTCGGGATCGGGTTTATGACTGACTTTACACCTTCAAGAACTGAAATTCCAGAACCCGGTTTGCAAGGCCGGTAGAAGCCAAGAGCTGGTAGGTCAGTATTACGAAAATTGCTGCTGCTGGTGCTGCTGCTGCTGCTGCTGCTACTGATTATGATTATGAGTATGATTAGCAGTACTACTAGTAGTATTCTTATTTTCGTTGCTACTATTCTTGTCATTTTTCGATGAGGATGATTGATGATCTTGATCATTATATGGATTCTTGTTGCTGTTGCTATTATCATTGCGACAGCTATTGCTGCCGAAATTACTATCGATTGTAAATGCTTTTGTTATGACTATGACGAATGTCTGGTGTGTGTATACATGTGTACCGGATGCCATTGCGATACAACGATGGACGGATGTGGCAAAAGACTGGCGCAGCTTGAAACCTGCAGTATTACAACAATCTAGATGCAGAGACCGTACAACCGAATCGAACCCAACTGCCATGACATGCTTGATCTTCAGAGCAGGAAGCAACAAAGTTCAGCTAATTCCATGAACTTCTGCATCGCACCAACAACCGCTTGCCAAACTTTGTATCTTCGTTCACAATGCGGGTCAACAACCTGCGCTACAAACAGTACTCCTCTGAACATGGCGACCCCACGCCTTACCTGCGATGCAAGAACCCGTAAATATGAAGTTTTAATACATAAGCATAGGGTTTGAGGCCAATTATACGACAAATATACTAGGTATAATGGCCCCCCCAAAAAAGAGGTAATTATTTAGGCCCCTATGGTAACCCTGAATCCTACAGTTACAAACTCAAACTCCTAAACCCCCGGCCTCGACATAGGGTGCAAGCAACAAGGCGAAACCGTGGTCTATCGTTTGGGGTTCAGGTATTGGGGTTTAGGCCGGACTGTTTATCCACTACTTTACGGACCATGTTGCGTTCGGGGTGTACAGTCTGGGGTTCAACACGCATCTGCGTACCAACAGAAACCTTACCTGCCCGGTAAATCGAACATGGTTGCTGGTAACATAGGGCCCTTTATAATTAGTCCTGTAAAAGGGTCTATAAGGATTACTATAAGGGATCTATGAGGGCACTATAACATAGGGCCCTTTATAGTTACAATAGGGTTTTGGGCTTTTGGGGCCCATTATATTGTAATTAGCGTAAGGATCTCCCCCCCCCCCGCTCCAAGAAAAAACAGTATTGGCAATTATTAAGGCCCTTATGTCTGGCCCCTATGGTACCCAGTGCTTCCTGGTCGCCACATGTTCTCCATCACAGCAACGAACCCTGGCATTTGCGGAGACACCATGCAGCCTCCGAAAGGGTTGCCTGACTCAGCTGCTTTCCAACTGCAATCAGAACAGCGGGCAAATCCTACGAGGTACCTCCAGAAATGGGGCAAGCATTGGCCACCAGAAAAGCAAGTGTTCCGGGACCCTCTCTGTAACCTGAGTGCAAGGTCGATGGAGGGTCTATGTTGTCGTGGATCGACACGATCTGTACATTCGACTCCATGCGGCTCGCGTTCTGAGGCCATAGATTGTACAGGCCGAATTCAGCAGAATTGTACCAACGGCTTAAACAGCAAGTCGGACCAAGTCACACCGCATTCGATGCCACATGTCGCCAGACAGGCGCTGAACGAAGCTCGTGGTGGCGACATATAGAGCATTCTGCCAGCATAGACCACAAACAGTCAAAAAACACCACTCAGTCCATGCCTACAGATTTAACAACTCCAGCAGCGAGCCTGTAAGTCCACAGCGCACACCACAAGCTTCGTATGCTGGCAGGAAACTGTGTACAGGTGTAGAGAGATTACTGCCCCTGAACCCCATAAACCCGGAGCCCTTAAGCCCTTAGGCGCTGGATTCAGGAGGCTCGACCTCCGGAATAGGTACATCTGCGTCGTCACGAGCTGGAGCATTCAACAGCCTCGGCGTAGAGTTTTTTTTGTTTATACTGGCCAGAGGCCTGGTTTCCCAGAGAGCCCATTTCATAAGGGTGCTTCTCAAACTTAAGGTCAATGTTTAGGAGAGTACGGCACCTATTCTTTGGGTACCCAAATAGGGACCTTAATGTTGACAACTACCCATAAGGATTTTTCGAAGGTCCAACAAGGCTTCCATGGAAAAACAGTACTCAGAAAGCAATATGTCTCAAATTGTGTATAGGCTTCTCATTCGGATTCTTATTGCGATGTGAAGGTATGTTCCTGTATCTATACTGTATGAAAAGTGGTAGGAAACATCGATTAATGCTGATGCTATTCCCTAGGGACCCAGGAAAACTATGCAATTCCTACTCTATTCTAATTGCTGAGGCGCGCTATATTGCAGTAGTGTGGTCGCCTGCCTTGGAGGTTACAATATTCGGGTCCTGGGTAGGCAGTAAACGGGAACGCCCCAATGAACGGCCGAACTCCTGAGCCCTAAAGCCTAAACCAAACAAGCCAAAACAAGAAACCCACAACCCTAAACCCGAAGTCCAATTCCTAGACCCTAAACTTGAAACCTTAAAGCCCAAACCCTAAACCTGAAACCGTAAACCTAAAACCTTAAACCCTAAACGTGAAACCTTAAAACCTAAGCCAGGAACCTGCAAACTTAAAACCTTAACCCGAAACCTTAGTCCTCCCAAAAGCAAGACGTCGCCCAACATCGCCCAGGTCGCTTCTCATCGGCTGCCGCCATCTCCTGGAAACCCACCCTAAACCCTAAACCCTAAAAAGGCCCCTCAACCCTAAACCGCCTGTTGCTACAAGAACGTGCTTTGCCCACATAGCTCCTGTAGATCTCGCCATGCAAAGGGCAGACCTGGGCACATAGTATAGGGTCTTAGTTTAGGGTGTACTCAATAGGGGCCTTAATGCTTGGAATGTGGTTTGGGATATATTATGCTGCAAACATCCCTAACCATCGCACGCTTGAAAAAACACTGGATTTCGCTTGAAAATACCAATCGATTCTGCTGCGCTTGAAAATACCATGTGCGCTTGGCATTTTCTATCGGACCCGCTAGGAATCGGTTGGGATGCTATTTTCTCCGCTAGGTTCTCCGCTAGGTTTTTATCATCGATTCCGCAAGGTTTTTCATCAACGATTTCGCTTGGTTTCCCGTGCCCAGCACACCAAAAACATCGAGCCCAACCCGGAATTCTGAAGCACACAGGTCTTCACAGGTTTTCACAGAATTTCACAGGTTTTCACAGAATTTCACAGATCTTCACAGATTAGTCTGTGAAGATCTGTGAAGATCTGTGAAATTCTGTGAAGATCTGTGAAATTCTGTGAAGATCTGTGAAAACCTGTGAAGATCTGTGAAAACCTGTGAAGATCTGTGAAAACCTGTGAAACCAGAAATCGCAGGCTTCAAGCCCGGTCAAACACCCGTGCTCCTGAATGCTCCGCTTGGTTTTTGCTATATGCTGCTATTGGTTCCCCGCTAGGTTTTTCTTTCGCTTGGTTTTCACAGAAAACTAGTGGATCCGCTTGAAAATATCAATCGGACCCAATCCGCTTGAAACTACCAATCGAATCCGTTTTTTTCTGTCGGCCGATGGATAGGGATGATAAGGAGCCCATTAGTAGTATTCGTGACCAGGTTGGCTTCTACATTTTCTGCAGGCTTTTAGCGGGGGCCTTTCGTGCACTTCTTTGCAGGTTGTAAGCCCGAATAGCTGATACCGTCTCGTCACTAAACCGAGTGACAAAGGCTGCCACAACGAAACTTCTAGGCAGTCAACTACCGCTTCATCATGCGGTGTTGTAGGACATCAACCCCCATAACATCATGCACAATGTACATTCACCACAGTGCCTAAGGGGCCCTGCACTACCAACCCCCGGAATAAGAGCCAAAAATGCACATTCACCAAAGTGCCTAAGGAGCCCTGTATCGAGCAACCAGAATGCCAAACTGAAAACCTCACCTCGTAGAAGCATAAAACAAGCCGAGGTCGGAACAAGCAGCAATAGCAGTCCCTTACAGCCCCAACATGGTTATGATATAATGTACCGTAAAGGCTTATCGCACTTATTGGGCGCCAACATATTGCTGTATCACAGCACGGTTTTGCGAGATAGCACTTTTAGACGCTTCGAGACCTACACATGCTGCGAAGCCAGGCCGGCTCAAAGTGTCCAACACTTCTACATCAAGAAACACTTCTACATCCAGCAGCAGACCAAACTTGATGAACATTGCACATACATGTACATGTGTATATATGTATATGTATCTACATACAATATGCATACACTTTTTGTTCTTTTAAGTCCTTACCCATATCTAAAGATACATCTACGTGTAGTTTGGTATGTACATGTGCATGTGGACTTACATGTATACTATGTGTATCTCTCAGAGGGGGGGGGCAACGTAGAGTTTCTGACTATAAGTTACAGTATATGGTAGTTTCCCAATCCTAATATAAGGGAACCCTACACAGTAGGATCGCTATTAAAAAAGGGCCTCAAATGCGGTACCTCCTATTTTCGGAAACTCCCATTTCTCGTGGTTGAGGAGTTTCGGGCTCATTGGCCCAAAGGCTCCATGTAGCCCTTTAGTATACACTTAGGCCCCAAAGTACCTATATAGGAACCTCTTTAAGGCCTAAGTATATACTATATGGGTACATGGAGCCCCAGGGATTGGACAAGCCACCCAAATAAAGCGTCGTCGCTGGGCGGAAAGAGCCAGCAGCGATTGTCGGCGAGCGACGCTCCTCCTCGCACACCTTGAAAATCACGGGCTGCGTTTTCGAGGGGGCCTTTCGGGTTTAGGGTTTAGGGTAGTTTAGGGTTTAGGGTCCCTAGGGATCTAAGGACTCATATATTAAGGCTGGGCCCAAAGACCATACTATGAAAGGCTTTGGGGCTATTTTGATCCCTAGGGAAGGATCCTGCCATTTGGGGACTTATTGAGGTCACCGTTTCCTGTCGGGAGTGCTCATAGAGCCGAAACCTCCTCACTAGGCAATATGAGACTTGTGTACCGGGAACTATGTAGTTAAGGTTCAAAGGCCTCACTACATTATAGATGTACTTCAGGCTGTATATATATATATATATATGTATATAACTCTATATAGCGCTTCCGCAAGTGGTTGAACACATGATTCCGCATTAACAAGGTGCGTGGGGCCCTATGCCCGGCCTCAGACGCATTCACTGCCCGCCGACGGGAAGCAGAGCGTCGGCGCTTCAGTAAGTCCTGTTCTCAACCCTCTTATACGAGTCGGAGATCCTTGGAGGTTCACGGGTAGTTATTTAGGTACCTTTAAAGGGATCTATACGGATTCTCTAAAAGTAAAGGGTTTTGGGTTACTTTTGCCTTCTGCAAGGCTTAAACCCTAAACCCTTGATCCTAAACCCTAAACCAAAGTCACTTCAAGGTTGCAGCAGCTTAGACTCTCTTTTGAATCGGGGGGACCACGTGTTGTCTCGACTGCAAAGAAAGAAGGCTTCCGTTTCTGGGCAGGACGAAGTGAAGTCCAGAAGGGCTTGATAGCCCACCCTTAACATACAAGTTTATAACGCAAGGCACGGAGCCCTTAACTCTGCAGGTCTTTGTGTCCTGGAAATGACACCGAGCTGATACAAACCCATTTGCTGTGGCTTTGTGTGGTTGCATAGAAACAAAAAACAAATGCCCATGTGTCCTAAGAGATCTAACGCCTGGTGCTACAATAAGTCAGAACCCAGGTGGCAGCGGAAGTCAGCCCTCCTCCCGAACAAAACAAAGACAAATTGCCCTGCGCACCTCCGGCTGCGGCGGCTTGGGTGGAGTTTTGATCTTGGGAGAGCTTTCCTGCAAACTGGGGAGATACCTACATCTGCATTTAAATCTGTGTTCCGTGTCCCGAAACCTACAGTGAGCCGCGACGCATTCATCTGCTCTAGCTCTGTGGCACACAAGAGCGAAAGAAACGAACAGCTTCGATACTTTCCTACCGCTTCTCTCTATCACTCTGATGCCGGGGCATGTTGTCATGTTTTGTGTGTGAATATGATCGCGGCCTCAGCAGGCACATCAATGTCTAGCCACCAGCACAACTGGAAATCCAAACAAAACAACACCCTAAATCCTAAACCCGTATTATAAAACCCAAACAAACCAAAACCCAACACCCTAAACCCCTAAACTCCAAACATACGAAACGAAAGATGACGCCCGCACATGACTGACGCCCGCACATCCGGCTGCGGCTGCTTCGGCGGAGTTTCAATCTTGGGAGAGCTGGCCTTCGGTTTAGGGTATGGGGTTTAGGAGTTTAGGGTGTAGGGCCAAGAGGTCAAGGGGTCATTCCAGGATGTGTTGTTGGGGTTTAGGATTTAAGATTCAATGCTTGGGTTTTGCAAAGGAGCCTGAATAACTAAAACAAGGTTTGGAAGTTGTTTGTACTAATACTAATCCTGCTGGCACAGAAACTTACGGAATCCGTGAGGCTTCAATGCTAGGCTAGGAAAGGACAAGCACGAACTTGGTCTCTTTTGAGAGTGGGCCGATCTGATGCTGCACTGAAGGGCAGCAAAGGAATGTCAATGTGGATGGCTTCGAAGGGTGCGCAGCCCTACATAAACACTAAGCCAAGTCAAAGCTGGCGACTTTTCCGAAAAGGCCTGCCGCACCTCGGGCTCTGGCTGCGAGGTCTGGGTTCCGATCCGAGGAGGGCTTACCTCCAAGCAGGACACGAACTTTCAAAAAAAGGTGAGGGTCACCAGGAAAACACCACCACCAGGTAGCTACAAGTAAGCATGTGCTGCTAGGGTAGAAAAGAGGCTGGTTGGGGGGTCTGGCGTCTAGGTCGGGTTTGGGGTTTACAGGGCTTTTGATTTCAACCTGTATGCTTGCGAGACTGCCATCGTATTCTCATAATGATCGACATAATATTCACGCTGGGTGTTGTCAAATCCCTCATGCGAGTCCCGGCCCTTTGGACGATCCCTGCATCTAAACCACAGACACCTGAACCCTCAATCCCTCTCAACCCCGGGACCGCAACAACATTCACAAAAAAAACATCGATGCCCTGCGAATGAACAGCTTCTGGGCTAGGAGCATATATGTGTGTGTATATATCTAGCGAAATACACACACATGTATATGAATATATGTAGGCAAAACAGTCATATATTTATGTATATATATATATACATATTATTTTGTTTCCATTCGAGAAAGAGAGAGAGAGAGAGAGAGAGAGAGAGAGAGAGAGAGAGAGAGAGAGAGAGAGAGAGAGAGAGAGAGAGAGAGAGAGGGAGGGAGGGAGAGAGAGAGAGAGAGAGAACACGTTTACCCGAAACCCTACACCCTACGCCCTAGACCTAGCCTAGTATAGGCAGCACCCTTAAATCCGAAACGTCCTCAGCTGCCCAGCCTGGAGCATCGTACGGGATGGAGGTGCTGCATCCTGCGAGGCAGTCTCAGCATGTCCGCCCGGCCCTTTTTTGAACTGTATAAGAGTCTGTTTCGTTTAAGGTTTAGGGTTTGGGGATTGCGTACTTAAGTATGTGGAGTTAAGAGGATCCTGCATGAGACACAGATGCCTATGCGTCCCAAGCACCAAGCCAACAAGAAGACCTACAACTGGAGGAGTTTTACTCCCGGCAGATGCGCCTTCTGTAATGGAGCAGACTTGAAGCGGTAGCGACGGCCTCGGAATCAACCAGTTCCAAGGTACGGCTTGTTTGTTTTTCCGTTTCGGGCTTATGGGTTAACTATAGTTTTAGGGTTTAGGGTTTCGGTTTTTGGGCCTAAGTTTGGGGCTCAGGCTTTACGCTTTAACGTCTCCAGGGTCTCCAGAAATTCGGAAGTTATCATGCCACGTCTCTAGTAGACAGTGCTCGAAACTAACGAAACATCCGAAACGAGAACGCTGTACCCTCCGGCTTAGGATCTAAGTCTATAGGTTTCAGCTGGAGTTCCAAAAAAACGGAACGCAGGCGTCATCCCGGAAGCAAGATTGGTTCTCGAGTCCGATTGTTGAACTTTGAAGACATGTCAACGACAGAACAGCAGACCCCAACTCCTGCAGCCTCAATGCCCTTGCGTGTGAAACCCTGAGGAGGCGGCGGAGCGGAGGCGGTGTCTGCAACGCATGGGAGTGGTCGAAAGCAGCTCGAGAACGTTTCAGGAAATCTGAGGTCAGATGAGGCTGAGGGTTCTTTGGGTCGGTTTAGGGGTTGGCCACGGCTTGGTGCTTAGGGGTCTCAGATATTTCGGAGGCCACGGGATTTGGGAAAAAATTGTCATCGATCCTTCGACATTGTCGGGCTTCATGCGAGGGCTTACGACACAGCACAGGTTCCTCCAAGTCTCTGAAGCAATGCATACATGGCCAGCGCAAAAGTCAAATCTTGCCTTTCCATAGTCCTGCGCGCATGAAGCCTCATGACTTAAATCAGCCGACGCAGGGATCGCAACCTATGCACGGCCTTATTCGATATCATGATATCAAGCCGTGCAAGTCACCGTTCACAGCTGCCCCGATGTTTGGCTTAGCAGCTTTCTTGCGCATGCTGTCGCGTTACCAGCATTCGAGCCCGTTGCGATCGTATTGGAGTGGGGTCAGCAGCAAAGGCTTTCACTAAGCCCTTAAACAAAAAACCTTATACCAATATCAACCGTAAAAGCCCTACACAAAGCCTAAACCCCTTATCCCCTGAACTAAGGACCCTATAACCCCTAAACCCTAAAGCATCTTTACATCCTCTCTGAGTCGGCAGATCAAAGCCTCCAAAGTGGCTAGGCGAGGGGCTGCGATCCGATGCCATCGATCGCAGAAGCGTTGGGGTTTACGTTCCAGGGCTTGGGGTGGAGGATTTAGTGCTAGCTTCGGGCATTAGGGTTTAGGGTTTCGGGCTAGCTTAGGGTTTAGGGTGGAGGATTTAGTGCTTCAAGCTCTAGGGTTTAGGATTTAGGGCCAGTTTAGGTTTGAGGGTTTAGGGCCAGTTTAAAAGTTTCGGGTGGAGGATTTAGTGCTTCGAAAGGCTTAAGAGTTTAGGGCTTTGTGACCGACAGCCCTGAACCCTAAACCTAGATGGCAAGTTCGACCTGGGGGATACTATACTATAGTTAGAATAGGGAATCCTAAGCAATTGTAAGCTCAAGAAAGTCTCCCCATGATGCGATGATCGTGTCACTGTATCTTTCAACAGGTTTTGGGATTGAGGGTCATTGTCTAGAAACCCTTCATTCTACGATTTAATATAGGAGCCTTAATAAGTAGAATAGGGTGTTAGTTTGGGCCCAATAATTATATCATATAACTCTAGTAAGGACCCCCCCCCAGATCCTGACTTCCAGCTTTTTGGCAAGCCTTGGGCCGAATTTCGAAGCACAATCTCAATCAGGAACACCCGGCTTAGGGTTTAGGGTTTAGGGCCGTGCCCTGCGACAAGCTTGGCCCTGTACGGGCTTTCGTTCAAGGTTACCCGGGACAGACCCCCACACCCAAGTTTAGACGAGGGCACAGCCCGATTGTCGAACCTCAGAGGGGTGCTGGAGTCGTCGCTCCTTCATGGAGTAGTAGACAGGCCGGAACAGCTGGTCCACGATGTGCCTGTGGACTAGGAAAGTACTTGAAGAGGCCCCTATCATTAGACTTGGGTTGGGGCGGTTATATCATAAGTACCAACATATATGGACCATAGTAAGCATTCAGTTTCAATATAAGCTGACTGCTGATGAAGGGGCTTAACAAGTAGGGAGCAGGGCCTTCTAAGCCTCGCCTTGGAATCTCTTGTTGGGGAGGCTAAGGTGCACACGAGGCAGGGTGAACATTTTTCGGAAGTAGGGTTTTGAGCTTATATAGGGTACCTGCAGGATCGGGAGGGAGTTTGTAAGTAGGACATAGTTTCGGCTAGAGTTCGGGTTGTAAGTACCTTGCTTGAAGCTACCGCTACACCAGGCCTACTTCCGAACGTTCACCTACCTACTAAGTTCCCTTGAGGCAAACGCAATGAAACGTTCCAAACAGGCTTTCAAGCACCATTCTCTGGCCCAAGAAGCCTTTTTGTACCGTACTCTGGCAGTTTTGGGCCCATTGCAGTACTGAGGTAGTATTGCTTCCACTATCTGCAGCTGTTCACCATCCTTAAACCCTGAAACCTGAAGCCAACTACTTGCGCAAAACATTTGTGCTCTCTTGACCCTATGCTCGGAGTGCAGGCCAGGAAGCACAAGCTCTAAAGCGAACAAAGGCAGTTTGGGCTTCAGCGAGGGTTGCGGGGATGTGCTTGAGGTTCGCGGCTCAGTGCAGCTCCACACTTCTCTGAGGCTGCCCTTAGATTCCTTGGAGCTGCAGAAAGTAGAGCCATCCCACAGCCCACGACCCGGACTCCTAAACTTCACGAAACCTTGTAAAGCGAAGCCCTGCCCCCCGAAGCCGAAACCCTAAACCCTAAACTCAAAGCCCAAAACCCTAAACCCCAAACCCTAAACCCTAAACCCTAAACCGCGAAACTATAAACCCTCGGGAATTATAGTCTCCATGGCAGTTCATTTTTGGGTTACCTTTTAGGATCTTAACTTAGAAGGGGCCCCCACCCTGTAATAGTGGTACACTAGGAATATAACAGGGCGCTAATATCATCCTTATAGTCACTATTACAGGGGGGGGCAGCTTCTAAATCCTAACTATAGAACATTGGCTTAACCCAAAAAAGGAACTGCACGGTTAAACACAAAACAGACTATAACATCCGGTTGCCTCTTGAGACCTCTAGTCTGTACACTTTTTCTAAGAAACTGTTCGTAAAGATACGACATATAACAAACTTTCCTAGTGTGAAATACCAAATCAAACATAGTTTAATGATTTAATGATGACTGTTATCTTAAACTCCCCGTTTCTAAAAACAAAACAGCTTCATGACTACTGTTTGAATTTTAGCTGCCCTAAACTTCCCTATTCTCAAAAGCACCGGCAATAGTTTAATAGCTAAAGCCCCAAACTTTCCAACACTAGATTACTGATACGATGACTACTATCACAAACTAGCAAGAACACCCTGTCCCAGACTAGGATACCCAGTAACCTAAGAAAAAAAGCCTCTCTTTTTGGTATTGGGTAACTTTATAAGGAACCTAGACTACCCCAAAGGAACAGGATCGGCCCTGCCTCGTGAGCTTGTCTAGCGCCTCCTTCTCCTTGTCCTGAAGGCCCTGGCATCAGAAGAGGAGATATGGGGTATGGTTTTTATTATTAGTATCCCCCTAATAAAACCCAATATATACACTCACCTAATCCTAAAAGGAGCCCTAACTACACTCACCAAAACGGTAATAGAAACCCTACTTCATATGCCTATATGCTTAGGGTTTAGGGGTTATAATTATAGGGTCTACCCTTTTTGAAGAGCAAGCCCTAAACCCTAAACCCGAAATCCAAAGCCCTACACTCTGAACTCAGGGTTCCAAAACATGCCCTCCCCAAGAAATAGCCCGAGAGCCTCTCCAGCCAGAACCTCTGAGGCAGAAAACCGGGGTTTAGGGCTTAGGGTTCTCCTAACCGCTGAACCTATTAATACCCCTAAAAGTGCAAGTGCCTCATTATCATACACTCGCCAACATAGCAACCTACATAACTACTATCCTAAGACCGAGTACCTAATTATTGGGTCCTTTGGACCCTGGGGGGTACTGTCCTTAAAGGCCAGAGTGCCTGCAGCGAAACCCTAAACCTCAACCCCTAAACCCTAAACCGTAGAGCCCTGAGCCCCTAAACCGTAGAGCCCTGAGCCCCTAAACCTCAACCCCTAAACCCGAAACCGCAGAGCCCCAAAGCCCTAAACCCAAACCCCTCGGAGCGAACCCGGAGCTTGTGCTCCATCTTCGCGTACTCGGCACGCCGGATCTGCTCAGCCATCGCCTCAGAAGGATCTTGCCCTAAGGGTCTTGGGGTTGTGGGTTTAGGGGTTTAGGGGTTTAGGGGTTTAGCGTTTAGGGGTTTAGGGGTTAGGGGTTTAGGGTTTAGGACACTTTAGGGAACCTCAAAATGTAGGATTTCTGAGGCCCCAAAGAGACCCAAGGGCTCTCGCTAGGAGATACCTGGACCCTTAGGGTAGACCAAAAGAGCATACCACCTCTTGATGAAATACGTCAGTAAATGCGTGAATGTAGGTATACAGTTAAGACATATATGTAGAGGTAGTATCTAATTACACAATATATGTGTATACACCTTAAACCATACGATACTGCGCGGCCCTAGTGAGTCCAGGCATGCTCCGCATGTAACGGCCATTGGGCTCTCTTGGGGCGGTGGATGCATCAGTTTCTTACGGCTGTCCTTCTAGCGTTTCTTGGCAGCCACGGCTTTTAGGTCAAGAAGGATTACCTGGACCATAAGGAACCTGCCTGTTTTAGGGCTCCCTAATATGATTTCTTTGTCTAAGTCTTTAAGAAGGTAGGTTATTCGGGGATAGCAAAACTCTCGGAGCTACAAGAGGCCAAAAGAAACCAAGAGACTAGCATTTGTATAGTCTATCAGACAGTGAAAACACATCCACACCTGCACCACTTTCGACATATGACATATAGCCACATTACAACGATGTTCGTACTAGATGCGTTCCTACCACAAAGATCCCACTTTCCTCTTCCTCACCACCTGACGACAACTAACCAGTGGTTTTGGGGCTCCCTTGGCTCTTTAGCTCCTTATTTCATCGGGAATATCACCATCCCTGCCTCCTTAGCTCCTCCGAAATCAATGGTTACTTGACAACAATCCGACTTGTCCCTCCGCATGGCCTGCAGCGCTGCAAGGTAGGGCACGGCACCCTGAGAGGCCTGACATGGTGCTTGTGGCTTCATGCCGCAGAATACAGGTATAATAATTCGAACTGGGTTTTGGGGTATACTTTGTAATGAGGAACCCCCTAGAAATAGTATAGGTAATTATCAAAGTCGCGAGAATACCAGCATTATGAATTAAGCCCATAAAGATCATTCTGATCATGTTTTTGGGGGACCTAGTTCCATAATGGTAGTATACATGGATTCACTTGAGCCATGTTCCAAATCATAAGTCGTTTTAGGCTTTGCAGTGCAGCTTCTGCCGGAGCAGTCAGTGCTTGCCAGGCCGATAGGCGGTACCGGACGGCGATGGTGTATGGGGGCTGATGAGAAGAGAGGGCATGGAGGCGTGCACGGCTTCAGGACTCAGGGCTGCGGGAGAGTACGGTTGAAGCACAGTGAATCTAGGATGTCTCACTACCATGAGCAGCCGTCGGACCCCCTTCATCAGCATCGAAAAAAGCGATAATGCTGCTGACGTGATGACACAAGTGTATACAAGTCTTATGTAACCACCCTTCGCACCTGCCAGCATTTGAACTTTTGCACCTCATCGGTGATCAGGCGTCTTGCCTGTGGCTCCGGGCATACGCTCGAACCGAGAATTCTACATTCCCTCTAAGGCCTGTACCGGGCTCCAGGGGTTTCGTGCTTGAGGAGGGGTTCTTACATGCCTCATGTTGAGAGTTTACAGGATTTGGGATTTCGGTCGATGGTTCAGGGTTTAGGGTTTAGAGTTTAGGGTTACAAATCCAAGCCACCCGGGCAATGAGCCACATAAACTGGCGAACCGAAATCATCCGTCCTCCTTTCTGCACTCACCCTGGGCTACTCCGCAACTACTTACGTCTCCGTAGGGCTTTACGAGGTTCGAGGGGTTGTCAAAAGGCTTACCCTAGGGATCTAAGCACTCACATATTAAGGCTTTTGGGCCCAAAAACCATTCTATACAAGGCTTTTGGGCTATTTTGATCCCTGGGATTAGAGGGTGTTTCGTAAGGTTCGACCAAGGACTCTACCGGCTTGAGGACTTTGTGGTGAGGACTAGGAATGGGTGGTGGCGTAGGAGTTGAAACGATCTCATGAGCCTCTGTAGGCGTGTTACATAATAGATTTTGCTATAGGGATTTATAAGCTTGGATGTAAGGACCCTACTAATTTGAAGAGGGTGGGGGGGGAGGGGGGGGTGGCCTTTTACAGTATGGCTCAGGAGGTGGAGTTTTCAACTTTGTGCGAGAAAACACTCCTGTTGTCGTTCTCTTTACATGAATTAGGGGTTAGGGTTCAGGGGTTCTGGATTGATGGGGCCTTGAGTCAGGGCATGGGGTGCTGCTGAGGGTGGACAGTTTCAATGCTTCCCAGGTGTTCACCAGCTGGATTTTATTCAGTTGTTCCGGGTCCCTGGTAAGGCTCCCCCAAAGCTCCGAGTAAACGTCTGAAAACCGTGGAAAACCCGATGAACCACTGTAAAGCACAGTTCAAAAAACGATACACAACAAAACCCTACACCCTAAACCCCTAAACCCTAACCCTTAAACCCTAGACTCGAAAAAACACAAGACGGGATGGAACAACGGATAAGGAACCCTATACACCGAGACCCCATTCGAACTTGTAGCCCTTAGACTCTCTTCTTCATGAACCGGGCCCCCAAAAGTCCAAAATGTCCAAGATAGACGAAAGATAGAAGACCAAAAAACTTAAAGTTCTCCCATTGGCTACCCAAGTATAGTAGTCCTTAGTAACCTCAAATCCTAAACCCTAAACCCTGTAACCCTAACCCCTAAAAACTAATCCTTAACCCCCTTCCTCAGGAACCCGTTCCTTGTCAACCTCCGACTGGCGCTTCTCGGCATTGGCTTGGACCACCTTTGGGTTTAGGGTTTTGGGGATTCAGGGTTCAGGGAAGTTCAGGGTTTTAGGGCTTGGGTTTTAGGATGTACGGGACAGGGTTTAGGGTTTTCAGGGATAGGGTTTAGGGGTTTAGGGGATAAGGTTTAGGGTTCAAGTTCGAGGGTATGGGTTTCAGGGTTCAAGGATCAGGGATGAGCTAGGGAGCAGGGAGTGTCTGGGGCTTAGCGAACACCTCCCAGACTCAAGCAAGGTTTTTAATAAGGCTTTCTAGGATGTTTTGGTGAGGTTTCGTAGTATGCTATGCACCAATTTCCCAGACAGCTCAACACGGGGTGAAATTGTTGGTTGTTAGGGTTGCTGCCAGAGCGATTGAAATTGCAGCTGAAAGCTCATTCTTTATCCGACGGTATCAACGCCCGCAACATGCAAAATTATGCTTGCGTCCTGGCGCCTAGCAGGCTCCAATGTTCAGGTGCAGACGGTGCAAGCATGCTCCGTTCTTCTCGTTCTTCATGAGCTCATCTGCAAGGCCATCCTCCACAGTCTTCCATTCCAGTTCGGGGACCGGGGCCGGATCACTCGGCCAGTAGGTGATGGCCGCTTCCGCTGGAAGTGCCAGAACGTAGTCGAGATAACGCCTATTCCAGACGGCGTACGAAGAAACCAAACCCATCCAAAGCGCTTGGGTTGGCGTCGCAGAATCTCGCTCGCAAGGTATTGCCTGAAAAGACTTTTCCGGCTGGTCGCTTCTTGGCCATGATGCATAAAGCTAAAGCTAACTCTCGGCAAACAACTACGAGGCATCCAAGTTAGGACTACCAGTGAAGGTGTCGAGGAAGAAGAACGTGAAGCTGCAAACTACTATTTGTTTGATTGGGGTGTATTCATTTTTGTTGTTTTCGCTACAACAACAACAACAACAACAACAACAACAACAACAACAACAACAACAACAACAACAACTACTACTACTACGACCATTGGGCAGCTTTACAGGAAGTGAAAGGCCATGCTTTTCGGCGTTAGTATCAATACAGTTTTCTAGGATTGATTGTCTTTTAGTTGGAGTCGTACGGTTTTTAAGATTTTGATGTGAAGAGTTGAGGGCATCTGGGCGAATAGTTTTTGGAGTTGCCGGACGGCTTAAGAGTTGCAAAAGGGTTTAGGCTTAGGCTACGGGGCCGAATTTTCAGACACCCCGAAGCCCGAAAGCCGAAACCATAAATCGTAAGACCTCATAGTGCGAAGCCCTGAAAAGCCCAAAGACGAACTCAGAAATCAGCTGGGGCGATTGCTATTGAAAAATTCGACGTTTGGGCGGTTTGACTTATGGGGTCGGTACTGTCTTCGGCCTAAATAATTACTGTCATTCGCTCCGAAACTTTATGGTGTGCCGTGTTTAGTTCAGGATCCCCCAACAGCTTTGCATGAATAGGTAGGCTAAAAGTACAGACAGTCTGCCCAATGAATTGCCGTCCAAGATCTAATTCGCCTTTCTGGCCCTAGCCTCCATTGTATTTAAATCGAAGTTAGGATCCTCAAGAGTAACCCGAAAAAAGAACCACAATGGAGATCGTAGGTGGTTCTCAGCCCAATGCGCCTAAGTGACAGAGGACCCTAAAACCGAGCTTCAAGCTGCTGCTCCAAACTCGGATTCTGCCTAATGTAGGGGCCGTAATATTTGGAATAGGGTTTTGGAGCCAATTATGGAAGCTCATAAGAAGGAACCCCAAAAAGAGTATTGGTAATATCTTAAGCCTCCCATATTACTATGCCCGAAACTCCAATCACCCGGAGTCTGCTGCAGGCACTACTAAAGCAACCCGTAAACTTTATAGACCCTACACCCGTATACCTCATATGAAACCCTAGACCCCTGAACTCCTAAACTCTAACCCCTAAGCTCCTAAAACTCTAGACCCCGAAAGCGCGAACCGTAAACTTGGCGAAGAGATCCACACTGCCTACTTAGAGGCCCACGGGACTCAGTAAGTCGGCTATAAGTAGGGCTATATTTGGGGTAGCTCCATTTCTTACTACTAAGTCCCCTGGGCCTCTAAGTAACCCTAAAACCTCCCTTACGGAACTCTTATGGATCCCCTTTTAAAGAGCCCTTTAAGGAACCCTTTAAGGAACCTTAATTACTAAGTCCCCTGGGACTCTAAGTACATCCTTCAAGCGCGTTCCCTTTAAAGCTGTATTTAGGGTTTCTTAAAGAAGGTCGGGGTTGTTAAGGGTTACTATCATGCCTTCATGATTACAGCAGGGTTTTGGTGTGTAGGGTTCCTTTGAAGACAGGGGTAGTAAAGGCTACCATGGGGGGTCCTTTGTAAAGGGGTATTAAGGGCTACTATAAGGGCTCAAGGGCTTAGTATGGTTCCAAAGGGTCACATTTCAAGAGGTTACAGGATGAGAACAGGGTTTTGGTGGAGAGGATTCCTCAAGAGGTTATTGCGGGCTCCTTCAAAAGGGTTCCTGAAAAAGGGGTTATTAAGGGTCACTACAAGGGCTACAAGTTAGAATGGGGTCTTGGTGTTATAGGCCTCCTTTTCAAGGGGTTGTCAAGGGTTACCATAAGGGTTACCAGGGGTTCTATAGAGGCCTCTATGGTTAAAATAGGGTGCCGTAAGAAAGGATCCGCTCAAAGTGGCTATTAGGGGTGGAGCACATTAAGGGCGACGAGTCACAACAAGGCTGTGGCATATGGGGTTCCTTTCAAAAGGGTTGCCCTAATGGCTGAAGGTTGAAGGTTTTATTGTCGATGGTGTCAACCGGGTTTGGGTGTATATTGTAGTCCAATGCCGTGCGGACTAGAAGGGGATACTACATCCAATTGTTCCGACCCCTACATTACCTCGTGCCCGAAGCCCCATCAATCCAAAAGCATCGAACCTCTATGCAATGTAGTAAGCCTCAAGCCCCCGAGAACTGAAACGAGACATAACCACTGGGGACCTTCTTCAGGTCGTCGACAGAGTAGGACGCCACCTTGTCAACCTGCGGCGGGGGCACTTTAGAGTTTCCTGCCGAGGTTAAACCTACAGTCCTCCTGTTGGTTGAACCAACTTTGACTTATAGTTAGGATCCGAAAAGGTAATGTAGAAACCTGATTAAGAAACCCTGGGTCCATACCCCCAAAATAGTAGGATTCATATAAGGAACCCGAAGAAAGGCCCAAGGTTTCTTAATCAGGTTCCTACATTAACCCCAAGGAACAGGGAACCAATATGACGCGACATATGCGGACACCTCCGGAAAATGCGCCTACTGAGTCCGTATGGAAGGGTTCCATGTGCCCAAACAGCCCTAGAGTAGCTATATAGGGACTACTTTCAAGCCAAAGTATATACTGTACTATTTGGCTTCATGGACCCCTAGAGTTAAGCTTTGGACCCCACGTGGGATGAAGACATCCACTGCAAGGCAGGCAGGGCCTAAACCCTTAACCAGGGGATTGATGAAGCCAAAACACTACACCGTGATAGAAGTAGACGTTGGAATCTGGACTCCAAGTCATCCGCCTCTTCGCAGCCAGGTGCGACGTTCAGCGGCACGGAGATGTCCACCAGCCTCAAATTGGGACTGGGCCGCGGCCCTTGGCCGTTTTCTGCCCGGATGATTCGGTTTGAGCTTTATGCATCGGGTTTAGTAGGAGTTTGTTCGAGTCATTGGTATAGTCACGAAATCATGTCGCATCGTCCGGGTTGAAAGCAACTCATGCGGATGGCATGTCACTTCATGTCTCGTAGACTTGAACTGTGGCATACTTAGAGGCCCAGGGGACTTAGTATATAAGTGGATTATAAACAAAAATATTAGTACCCTAAATGAAGTTGACCCAATTATAACCCTACTTATAACCTCCTTACTAAGTCCCCTGGACCTCTAAGTACCGCTGCATCCCACGACACAAGGGGATCGTGCCTTGCTTTCGTTGGCCTCAAATACCCCCAAACCCCAGGCCCTAAACCCAAACTCGTAAACCTCAAACCCGAAACCCTAAAACCTTCGAGTGCCGGTGCCACTTTGTTAATTTCGGACCAAGCTACGAAGGAAGCCGAATGGCCTCTATCAGTTCTCAACGAACAGCCCTCAACCCAAACATGAAATCATGAAACATCTGCAACCCCGAACTCCAAACCCCAAAGGCCTACGTAAGCCTTCAACTCCAAGCCATGAAGCACCACAGCTGCAGAACCCTAGATGTAAACCCCAAAACCCCTGAACCTAAGTCTCCTAAACTTTCAAACTGCAAACCCAAAGCCCCCAAATTGCTGAGGTCGGTACATGAGGTTCCTCTCCAGGTCCTGGAGGTCCTCCGGCTGGATGATGGGAACCTGCCACATTCCAAGAGGGTCCAGAACAAAAAAAAAAAAAAGACAGTCAGTATAGGGGCCGGCATAGTTGGAATAGGGTTTTGGTGCGAATTACACTATGCTGATAATAAGAAACACCCTAAACACTATTCTAGCTATAAAAGTTCCTACATTACTATGGAAGTAACCCCCCCAAACCATACTGGGGATGGTTTATTGGGACCTAATTCCATACTTGTAGTATAGGTAGGCCCTCAGAGATTCTGTGTTCTGTTGAGGGCATTTAGGGTTTAGGGTATAGGGGGTTTGTGCTTCGGGTTTAAAGGTTTAGAGCTTAAGATTCTTTTAGTGCAAGTGGCCCTTTTCGAGAAATCCCGAGCAAGCCCAATCAGTCTAGGAGTTTTAGGCTTTCGGGTTTGGGCCGTAGTTTAAGGGCTCTTTCTTGCAGGGGTAGGGCTTATTATAGGGTTAAGGATGAAAGACCTTCAAGTTTCGGTTTACTACGGTCGATCATATACATCCTGCACTACCCGTCATAAGGAATATACCATAATGCCGATAGTCTAGGGTCATTACATAAAGGATTGTAAAGTATTGCAGAATTTACATCATCAACCGTAGGGCGTAGGCGGAGGGATTCTCGCTGAGAGTTCCCTCGCAGTGCCAACGGCTTGTCCTAAAGCCTAAACTGCTCTCAAGCCGCAACCCGAAGCCCTAAATAGATGTAGGCGTTGAGGGTTTGCTGTTTAATAATAAGGTATATATCAGGGTTCGAGCCCGGTGATGGGATGTATTTTTCGCCTGCTTTGGGCTCTTTCGGAAACCCTTCACCAAAAACAAAACAAACTCCAAACCCTAATCCTGAATCCTAAACCCCACACGCAACACCCCTAATCCCAAGCCCGAAACCCCGCTTGGAGTCTGCTTTGTAGTTCCATTCTTTGCGTTACTTCGTAGGATGCGAGGCATAAAGTCGGTAACACCAAAAAACGGAACTGCAAATGGAGACTATAGGCAAACCAGAAACCACCGCTCTTTCCTGCCTTGCTCCCGGTAGCTGTGAAGGTAACATCGCTCTGGCGCATCACCTCGAACATCTTCTCCTCAGATAAATCTGACTTTGGGGCTCCGCGTGGGAGTTTCATAACATTAGGGGTACCTTAGGGTTCCTATAAAGGGTTACTAAAAGGGTCCTTTAAAGGTCTCTATAAGGGGTTTGGAGTTTCCGAACATTAGGGGTACCTTAGGGTTCCTATAAAGGGTTACTAAAAGGGTGCTATATGGGTTCCTTTAAAGGTCTCTATAAGGAGTTTAGAGTTTCCGAACATTAGGGGTACGCTATTTTGGGGTCCTTATGATATTGATCCTACTATTTAGGGTACTATATTAGAGTCCCGTATTTTCGTACACTCCCATGTATCATAGCACAGCGTTTAAGTTTAGGTTTAGGGGTTTAGAGTACACGGTTTAGGGCCCAGGGTTTGGGCTTGGGGTTTTGGGTCTTTAGCAACTTTAGGGCAAAAGCGAACACCATGTGAGTTGATGAACTCTTGGGGTAAACCTCCAGACGGTAGGCTATGTGCTCCAGCGTGTGTAAGCATGAAGCAAGATAAGGTCTGGTCTTCTTGAGACATCCGACAGCACAATTCCCTTGGAACCAACTGCTCCGAAACAGTCTGTATGTGTATAAAACCTTGAATGCATCTGTGCTTCCTGGGCATTTCTCCCACTCAGCTAAACCGGATCAAGCTAACCCTCCTGAGCCTTCCAGAAAATGCTCAAAAGAAGCTGTGACGACACCTAGCCCTGAACTCCGGCAAAAGGTAAGCCAAGGCTGTGGCCAACGGGACGACCTCTGCATTCGACCCGCCACGGTTCCTGACCTGCAGGTACAGACACGGTCATGCCTTCCCAACGTCGCGGTTTAGGGTTTAGGGTCTGTGGGGCATAGGGGCTGTAAGGAACTACTCTACTCTTACGATTCGGCGGCACCTCGGGCTCTTTGTCTGTAGCCCAACCTCCTGTCCCAAAAGGTCCAAGTAAGGAGGTAGTAGGTACTTACTATTCTACATAGTACTTGGACCCGTCGGGAGCCTGATACCCTAAACCCACACTGTTCCCAACGGTGTAGGGTTTAGGGTACTATTTTTGCCCTCCTGAACCCTAAACCCTACGGACAATTCAGCGCTCTACAGCAGCTGGCTCTGGTCGTGTGGACGAAACGTCAAGCGTGTGAAATCTTACGGGTTTAAGGTAAGGGCCGTTTTGGGTTTAGGGACTACGGTCCACGGTTTAGGGTTTTATCAGGGCTGAGGGATTGCGGTTTAGGGTTTATCTCGGCGGTTTAGGGTTTAGGGGGTACGGTTTAGGGTTATCTTAGAGGTTTAGGATTCCGGGATTACGGTGTAGGGGGGGTTTAGGGATTACAGTTTAACATTTTTCTTGCCGGTTCAGAGCTAACGGTCTAGTGCTTGTTGCCACGGCAACCAGCCAAGCGCTTCAACAGCGACTGCAGCTGAAGGATAATTGCTCGAAGACCTGCCGCAGACCTCCCTAAACCCCTGAACCCCCAAGCCCCAAACCGTAAACCCTGAAGCCCTAAAACCCTAAACCGTAAAACCCTGAACCCCTAGAGCCTCAACACCCTAAACCCAAAAACCCTATAACCTGAACCCCTGAAACCCAAAAGGCCCTAAAACTCTAAGACCCTCAAGCCCCAAACCCTGAAGCACTAGACCGTAAAACCCTGATGAACGGCTATTAACACCCTAAAGCCCTGAAACGCTAAAGCCCTAAACCCCTGCAGCCCTAAAGCCCTAAACCCCTAAAGCCTTAAAACCCTAAACCCCTGAACCCTGAACCCCTAAGCCCTAAAGCCCAAATCGAAGCCCAAACGCCCGAGGCCCAGGCCAACTCATCGTCGAGCACTTCCTGGGCCTTCTCCACGGAGCGATTCACGAGGCTGACCTGCTTTCAAAGAGGCATTACAGGGTTTAGGGTTATAGGGTCTAAGTGTAGGGTTTCGGATTTAGGGTCTAAGTCTAGGGTTTAGGGTTTAGGGTCTAAGTGTAAAGGTCTAGGGTTCAGGGGGTTAGGGCTTTAGGGTTTCGGGTCGAGGCTGACCTAATATACGCTGTGTGGGTTCAGTTTCATAGGAAAGCTCAAGACCACAACTCCGCTATGAGGGTGTTCTCAGGTTTCTACAGCCGTCTAGAGGTTAGTGCTTCGGGGTGTCAGGGCTGTAGTAGGCTTACATGCAGTTGAGCATCGTAGGGGCCAGGATAGCTGCAAAAGTGACTCGGGGTATAGTGTAATCAAAAGCTGTTGCAGCGATTATAAGGGTTTAGGGTTTAGGGTTTTGAGACGAGCTGCTCAGATCCGACTTTCAGTTTACAGCACAGACTAAGACTTTGGTGCATTAGGGCTTTGCTTGGGGCTTTAATGCTTCAGGCATGAGAGCTTCGGCTGCGAGTTAGTGCTTGAGACATGAGAGCTTCGGCTGCTTTCCAAGGATCACGAGACTTACCTGTCTTTCCAGGGATCCGAAGTTATGGTGGAAGGATGCCCACACGAAGAGCAATAGTCAGTCCCGATATACCAACCTGCCGTGCACAAAGGACATTAGAATCATTAGGGTATAGGACCCTGTGTGTTTGGGAGGCTTTCTTGGGTTCACCGAGCTCAAGGTTTTGGGATTCATAATTCACGGCTTGGGCCCAGGGGTTAGGCTTTGTGGGCTTTGGGCCCTAGAACTCAGGGCCCTCCGTACTGAAGTACTTAGTCGACTTAGTCGTCTTTCGCCGAAAGCTGTACCAGAGGGGCCTTAATAGTTAGAGTAGGGCTTTGGTGTATTGTGCCACGATCATGACAAGGAACTGTTGGTATTCATTTGGCCCCCTATAGTACACGATGCTTGGGGCAGCTCGGGACGGCTTCTAACTATGCCCGGACGTTTGATTCACGGAACAAGGCCTTCCGAGCTCATGACGTAACCCTGTTAGGTTCGAAGCATATACTCTTGAAGTCATTTGGACCCTTACGGGGGTAGGGGGGAGGGGGCCTTAATGCCTATAATAAGGACTTTACCAGGCCAGGCCTATTTAAGGAAGTACAGTCCCCTAACCCCCCCCCCCCTCGCCCCCTTACCCCCCTAAGGGTCGCTATGATTAAGGGAGGCCCTCCACTCTCTAACTCTGAATGGCCCTGAGCCGAAACGTAGCTGAAGCCCTCAGCCCTGAATTATCCGAAGATTCCGTGTCTGGACTGGCCTTGATGTCAGGGTACTTGCTGAAGAGCGCCAACAGCAGCAACCTGGAGAGCATAATGTATGAGCACAACAAAGAAATCTTGAAGGGGATCCCATTTAACATGATTCAGGCTCAGACGTCTGTATCTTCCCAGGTTCTTTGGATGGTGCCACCGAAACCAGAAGTCCCAGATAGTGTTCCCGATGCCACCCTGTCAGATTTTGAGCTCAGGGTTTGGGATTTCGGGTTTAGGGCTTAGGGTCCTGATCTTCAGCAAACCCCTACAACCTCAATCCGAAAAGTCCGGAGGATGTGCAGTTTCAGGGGCGCGGCTGCTCCATAAGAGACCGGGCTCTGGTTTGAAAGCACATTGGAACCTCTCTAAAGTAAGGCCCCCTATGTAGGTCCCCAAACTTCTACGGCACCCTGGTGCAAAGGACCCCGGTCCAGGGACCCGAACTTAGAGAACTACCCGCAAGACGCCAGATTTAGGGTTTGGGTTTAGAATTTAGGGTTCAGGGTATAGGGTTTAGGGTTTAGAGTTTATAGGGTTTAGGGTTTAGGGTTCGTGCCTGGACATCTTGCCCGCGCCGATGATGCACACCTCATGCAGTTCTAGCACAGAGGAGACTTAGAGGCTCCTGGGACTTAGTAAGTAGTTTCCAAGTTGAGGTTCCTTAAAGTTTTGAAGGGATCTATAAGGTTCTATAAGGGGGAGTAGGGTTACTTAGAAGCCGAGGGGGCTTAGCAAGGAGGTTTTAAGTAGAGGTATAAATACCCTAAACGGAGTTACCCCAATTAGAAGCCTACTTACAACCGACGAATTAAGTCCCCTTGGCCTCTAAGTACAGTTAAGGGGCTTGTAGTCTTAGTTTAGGATGATGGGGAGCCATGGTAAGACTGAGGTGTGGACTCTTAAAGAGGAAAAGATGCCTAAAAGGGTTCATATAAATGAAGCTCATACACTATAGAGCGGGTTCATACTATGAGGGTCCAGGGCCCTTACTTTTAAGGGTCGTTCGGATGAAGGCCCTTGCTGTTAAAGGTCGTTCGGACCTTAAGGCCTTAAGGTCTGGTAGTATGTTCCGAGAAGACTACTTAGGGACCTAGGAAGTAGTAAGGCTCCTTAAAAGGGTTCCTTCAAAAGGGATCTATAAGGGTTCTATAAAAAGGGGGAAGGTTAGGGTATACTTAGAGGCCCAGGGGGGACATAGTAAGTAGGTTTTAAGTACGGTTATAAGTACCCTAAATGGCGTTACCCAATTATAACTTATAACCCTACTTAAAACCTACTTGCTAAGTCCCATGGGCCTCCAAGTAAGAGTTGTAGCAGCCAGTCCTGTCGTAGGAGTACGAAGCAATTGTGGCCGTGTATAATGTCCTTCCGGAAGAACCAACCATTGTCCTCGTACTCTACCATGAATCGCTGAAGCCGCTGAACCCTGAACTCTAAACTCCAACACCTCGAATCCCTGCAACCAGAAACTAAAACTCATAGCCCCGAACCAGACACCAAGGTAACCGAAATACAGCCCTGACCGTCTCCAACATTGGGTCGTAGGTGCTTAAGAGCCTTCATCAGAGCTCTACTAAGCACCCACTATTGAGGGCCATAAGAGCTCTATTACAGGGTCTTTGAGGGGTGCTTCTAAACCCGAAACTGGCCCTAAACCCTAAACCCCTAAACCCTAAACCCTACACCCTAAACCCTAAAACCCTAAGACCGTTCCTGGTTGCTGGGCCAAGGTAGGAGAACAAGTAGTCCCCTAAAGGAACCCTTATAGATCGCTATTAAAGGAGCCCTTATAGATCCCTAGTATGCGAACTTAACCTAACCTCCTTAACAAGAACCCAGCAAAGGCCGTGGCATGCAGCTTGCTCGCGGGCTTCCGCAGGTCCTGCATCGCCCTGGTGGAGATTCACAGGGGTATGGGGGCTTAGGGTCCTTAAGGGGCTCTTTAAACGGGATCTATATCATCGCCCTGGAGATTCCCATAGGGTATACGGACGGGTTTATAGGTTCCTTAAGGGGCTCCTTAAACGAGATCTATAATGGTCCTATAAGGGTCCATAGGGTCTATGAGTTTATAGGTTCCTTCAGGGGCTCTTTAAAGGCCATCGCCCTGGAGATCCACGGGGGCTAGGGTTAGGGCTCCTTAAAAGAGTTCCTTAAAGGGCTCTTGAAAGGGATCTATGCGGGGTTCTATAAGGAGGGGCTTTTAGGATCTATACCATCGCCCTGGAGATTCACAGGGTCTAGGGTATACCCAGACCTTCCCGTACCTCTTAATTACAGGTCAGGGGATATAGCAATTGAACTTCCTCAAAGGGCTCTCCGAAAGGGATCTATGGGTGTTTCCGAAAATTGGGGGTACCTTATTTTGGGGTCCTTATAATAAGGATCCTACTATTTAGGGTACTATATCAGGGTCCCCTATTCTCGGAAACTCCCCTATAAGGATTCTATAAGCCGGATTTTGGGTCTACTTAGAGGCCCAGGGGACTTTGTAAGTAATAAGGATCCCGAGAGGGTTCCTTACAAATGTTCTATAAGGTTTCTACAAAAGGGTGGGGCTAGGCTCTACTCAGAGGCCCAGGGCATTTAGTAAGTAGTTTATGCGTAGAGATATATGTACCTTATATGGAGTTACCCCAACTCTAACTCTGCTTGGAAACTACTTGCAAAGTCCCCTTGGCCTCTAAGTAGGACATATGGGTGTACCTGCGCCCGGTTTAGAGCTTATAGGGTTTGCTCGACCCTTTTTACATTCACCTTTTCAGGGCTCCTGAATAGAACTTCTTTATAGAAGTCCTTAAAACGGTAAGTCATTTGGGGTTGGGGTCTAGCGCTTAGGGTGTGGTCTAAGGTGATATAAGCAGCAAATCAGCAGGGTTCTACGGCCGGAGGTTTCTGAACTCAGGATATAATGTAGAGCCCCTCACGCTTATGTATTTTACGACATTAATTATGAATGAGCTATCAAATAAGGTCGCAGGGTTAAGGGCTGATAGGTCATACAGAACCCAATTCATTCGTAGACTCTCTGCCTTCTGGGTTTTACTCGGGATGGTAATGCAAAGGCCCGTCTAGAAAAAGAGGAACACATACATGTGTGTATATATATATATACATATACATCTGCAAGGTTCTCGCAGGATCCCGTGTTGGTTCGAATCTTCTTGCAAGTGACAGCCTGTGTATTGCCAATGATCCCCGCGCGGGATTGACCTTTAGAATGTGCGAAGAAATCCTGTGACTCCTACCCTGAACCCGACACTTCAAGCCCTAAACCCTAGCTTCAAACCCTAAACGACGATGGCCTGGACATCATGAGTTCCACCGCTGCACTCGACACGGACACCGATCCTGCAATGAAACAGAATCCGAAGGCACTCAGTGCTCAGAGTTTAAGGCTTTGGGGCCCAAACGTCGTTTAGGGTTTACCCGGACCCCCAAAGTATGTAGACTAATAGCCTTTAATGGGTATTGGGTCATTAGTTTACCTACTTTGGGGGCTTTAGGGTTTAGGGCTACATTTTCCGACTTTGTGAGCTAAGGATTAGGGAGGGCTGCCACTCCATCAGAACGGGAAGCAGGGACCGACCTGATGATCTCTGGTTTGAGGAACCTACTAGGGATCAAATTTAGGGGTAACCTACTAGGGTTCTATAAGGGATCTATAAGGGTTCCTTTAAAGGGATCTATAAGTTTCTATAAAGGGTTTAGGGCTTAGGGTTTTCGAAAATGCGGGGTACCTTGTTTGGGGGTCCTTCAAAAAAGGATCCTAGTATTTAGGGTCCTATATTGGGATCCCCGATTTTCCAACACTACCTATAGGGTCATGCCCTACCCCCTTTTTTAAGGTACCTACTTTTCTGTATAAGAGAAGCTAACCATAATACTAGGTACCCTAAAACAGGGGCAGGGTATGACCCTCTAGGAATGGTTTGCTGGAATATGGACAGCTTCGACTACGAAGTGAATTGGCTAATTCTCAAAAATAGAAGCTTCCTGCTTTTTGTACCAGACCGAACGACTTCGTCCGGCTACCCGGAAGCACCGTCATAAAGTGCAGCGCCCTTTGCGCAAACTTCCACAGCTGCTGTTCACGACATTACTAAGAACTGCACCTTGGTGTTGAGTCTGCAAGAATGACCGACAATGACCGATGGCACTGCTCTGTGCAGTAAGCGCAACAATCAAGCAGGACTCGAACATCATGCTCACGCATGCGAGGGGCCTTACTGTACGGTCTATATTGAGCTCCCAGGTGGCTGACTGTGGAGACGAGACACCGCCTTTCGAATGTTGCGAGTAGCAGTGTTATCTCTCTTCTTCGTGTCATCATTAGCTTTCCTTCTTGGTCAAACCTGCACGTCGAAATGGAGTGCAACTTCGACAGGCCGTCGAAATCCTGCGAAGTGTCGTCGTTTTGCTACCACTACTACTCTCTACGACGACAACTATTACCACAACGACTAGAAGTTTATTAGTTCCTGGCCTTTGCCGATCTTCGTTCGGGTGCGCACCATCTTGCCCATTCGGATCCTCAGCAGGCAATGCGCATCGGTTTAGGGTTTAGAGTTTAGGGTTAGGGGCGTTCATGCCGGCCGAATGCAGAGGCCTGAACACCTTCAGGCTGGTTAGGTCATCCCTAAGGGTCCATACGGTTGATGATATAAATCCTGCAGTACCCATAATAAGGGATATACCATAATTCCCATAGTTTAGGGTCCTTAAGGTAATGCAGGATTTATATCATCAACGACAGTATTATGTACCCAAATGGGGTTCCTTTACGGGTTCCTCTACGGGGTAATTTCCATAGGGCTCAGGCAAATTGGGATGATTACGGGTCCATGTACCAACATAGTCCCTATACGGGTACTTTGGGGCCAAAGCATATACCTATAGTCTCCATTGTAGTTCCTTTTTTTACATTCTGGATCCTTAATATATAATTGGTTAAACCAAAAAAAGGATTCATAATGGAGACTATAGGTACTATTTGGGCACACGGACCCTTAGGGGATAGGCTTCTGGAGCAGGTGACTTCACTCTCAGCCAGGACACATTGTTGACGACTCTGAGCCCTAACGCCTTTATCAAGCCCTTATAAACCTCATGAGTCCTATAGGTACATCACCCGAACCCTTAAGGCCCTATGCAAAGATCCAAAAGTCTCAACCGAGCATCCTCAGGCTTGTCGACTCTGAAATGCCAAGCTTTGGGAGATATGGATCAGGGTCCGAAGAGGCCACACAAACCGAAAGGGCTATGAACGGGCTGCATGAGACCTAAATCCTCACCAAGCCTAGCTGCAACCTCCTTGATGGTACGAGCATTTAAACCCCTCGGGTTGAGGGGTAAAGGAGTGTAGTGGTTCAGAATGTTGCGGCTTGGGAATCTGCTGTTTCAGGTTTCAGGCATATGAGAGCCGCTGTAGGAATGAGTTGTTTACCTTTACCGATTTCTCGATACTATGGATTTGGGTCTATGAAAAAGACCACTGAAAGCTGGGCGATGCTAGCGTTCACGTAGGGCATCAAACCTGGGGCCATGGCGCCGCATTGAGCATCCGCGAGACGATCTTTCCGCCGCACCTGCATAAAAGCCGGCTAAGTTTGTTTTTCAGGGTATAGGGTCTGTATATAAGGGTTTGGGGTGGGTTAGGGTGTGTAATTGCTTTAGGACCGGATGTGCTTTACCTGAACCCCCAGAGTATGTGCATCGTCACAATGCAACAGCGCTTGGAAGGTGGTGCCTTCCACGTGCGAAGATTGGGGTTGCAAGCAGTAGAGAGAGAGACGCACCAGGCAGCCACAAGGTCCGTCGACCTCAAACAGGACAGCCCATCGAAGCATCCGGCCAGGCGGAACGGATCCGTGAGTTTCAGCGCCAGCGCCAGGGCGGAGAGCCAAAGGCCAGGCCAAGGACGTCAAGTCTTTGTGTTCGCGTTGCGCCTTGTCCTTCAAGGAGAATCATAGCCTTTAAATGATTATTGGGGCACTATTTTACCTACTTCAAGGGGTTGAGGTAAGGCTTAATTGCCTTTGGTAAGTAGGGAATGGAAGAATGGTAGTAAAAGTAGTTTTAGTTGCACCCCATTCCTCCATTCCCTACTAACCAAAGGTAAGGCTTTAGGGGCTGGGAGCTTGGAGTGATCAGTTTCGGGCTGCATCTTCGGAAGCTGGCGGGGCATCTACTGGGGCTGCTTGTTGAACAGGGGTTTAGGGGTTAGGGTCTAGGGGTTTAGGGTTTATAGGGTTTAAGGACCACGGCTCGAGAGCCAATCCACTCTCAACCTCAAACCCGAAGCTTTGAACCCTGAGCTGGGATACCGAACATTCTTCGACCCTTAATTAACCCTAAACCCGGCATTGATAGAAGTTAGGATTAGGGGGACCCTTGGGGGATATAGACCCTCTCAATAAGGTCCCTTTTAAGAAAGCCATAAGTAGGGTTCAGAAGGGTCCCCTTTAAGGGGTCTCCCTAACACTACCTAGGAATTGAGGGCTTTTGAATTGTACCTCGGAGACGCCGTCAAAGCCCAGGACTTCTGAGTGTAGTTCGCGTGCTCGACTGCCCTAAGGGTTCATGTACTCATACAGTATTTTTTTTTTGAAAAAGCTTATACATTATATATATATATATATATATATATATACATATATATATATATATGTATATGTATACTGGCCTCAATGTAGTCCCTATTCAGGTACTTTGGGATCCAAGCATATGGTATATCAGTACATGGGCCCTCAGGGCTGGCTATCTTGACTTGAGCTGCCCTACCCCCAACCACCAAGCCCCCACCGAAATCCCACACCCTAACCCTCAAATCTAAAAGTTTGTAAACCCTAACCCCTAAACCCTAAACCCCTAAACCCTAAACCCCTAAACCCTACCCCTCAACCCTAAACCCCTAAACCCTACCCCTCAACCCTAAACCCCTAAACCCTAAACCCCTAAACACTAAGCCCTAAACCCCTAAACCCTACCCCTCAACCCTAAACCCCTAAACCCTAAACCCTAAGCCCTAAACCCTAAGCCCTAAACCCCTAAACCCTACCCCTCAACCCTAAACCCCTGAACCCAACCCCTCAACCCTAAACCCCTAAACCCTACCCCTAAACCCCAAACCCCTAAACCCTAGCCCTAAACCCCTAAACCCCTAAACCCTGAACCCCTAAACCCTACCCCTCAACCCTAAACCCCTAAACCCTACCCCTCAACCCTAAACCCCTAGACCCTAAACCCCTAAACCTTACATGACAGAAAAGCCCAGTCTGGGCCCTGCGCCCAGCCATCGTGTCCTCCTCAGCCTTTTGGATGGCATGCCTGGTGCTGTTGCGGTTCAGGGTTTAGGGTTTAGGGGTTTAGGGTTTAGGGTTTATGGTCTAGGGGTTTGGGGGTTTAGGGTTTAGGCTTTAGGGTTTAGGGTTTAGGGGTTTAGGGTTTAGGGTTTCTGTTGCGGCTGCTAATGATTTCTTTGCTCCTCCTCCACCTCACTCTCCTGAACCCCTGTTACCACCATGACTGCTTCAACCGAAAAACAGCAACAGCAGGGGCAACGCTACCTCCGCCTCCTCCTCCTCCTGCTGCTACTACTAGGTACTAGTACTTACTTAGTACTACGACGACGAGGACTGCTACCAGTAAACCACATCGATAAGAACCGTCGCAAGAGACGGAAAGGTGGACCCTAAGATGGAGCGCAGGGATATGTCCTTTGACACGAATGAGGGCTTGGTGATTGGGTGGGAATTTTGGTACTGGCTCTGGCTTAGGAGTTCCAGCGGCCAGCAGCTTCAGAGAAATGTGCCAGAGTGCACCGGCCGTGATCTGCCCCCCGAAAACCGCCAACCCCACCACCCAGATATCAACCCTACACCTTACCTTCACCCGAAATCCTAGGACCCTCATAGAAGCTCCAACGGAATGTTATGGCACACAGCTACAACACCTTATGACTCTCTGCTTGGAGGATCCTGGGACTAAGTAAGTACGGTTATAAGTACCTTGATTGGGGTTATATATGTTATTATAAGAGGAGTCCGGGGGACTTTGGGCGTGCGCTTTTTTGAAGTTGTTTGATTCTGTATTTGTGGCTGGCTTGCTTTATGCTAGAATTGTGATGGTACAAGCGCATATATTGCTATATAGAATCCATCAGAGACCCACTTGTGCCCGCATTCATGTTATGGCTAGTTGGTTTGCTGGTCATATGTCCAGTCTAAAGGTCAAGCGACGAGAGACACGGCCCTAGTTGCTGATCTTTTCGACTCGAGCTAACGGAAATATCTCGTACCAATACTGTTATTTGTGTTTTGCATTATAACAGGTTTGGACCTCAGTACATACTGTTTGCATCATATGATTTGCTTCGTTAGTCTTATCGGGCTGAGGACACATAAGCATGGATACTAGTGTTCTGTTCTATTGTATTACTTCCAAATATGTCATAGGTTGCAATCACATATATGTGTATTTGCATATGAACATAAGTTACATATATATATATATATATATGAAGGGTATATGTGTACGGATAAATAAATAAATAAATAAATAAATGTATATATATATATATATATATATATATGCATATGTCTATGTATATATATATACCTACATACAGAGACGGATATATATATATATATATATACACACACACACACGTGTATGTGTGAAATTGTGCATGGTAGAGAGCTCGGCATATGTATATTTATATATATATATATATATATATATATATATATATATATGCATATATATATATATATATATGTATTTATATTTATATGTAAATATACTTGCATACATGTATACTTTGTATATACAGTGCCTTACATTGGTTGACAATTCTGACCTTTCAATGCACATACATAGATGTATACACATATGTGTGCGCGGAGCATGCTTGTGGATGTAGTACAGACTTCTTGATCTGTAAATACTAATTTGTTTGCTCATCTTCGTGTTATTAATACTAACCATGCCCTTTGCATTGCTCTTGTCGGTACGTGTTTAAGATGATAACCGAACATTCAACCCAAATGCAGACAGTAATAGCACTAGATACACGATACTTTTCAATCCACACTAAGCCGATGTTCTATAGGTTACCAGCAACAAGTCTATTGTAAGGTGGCACATACATGTACCTGTCATACTTTAGCTATGGTCATGTTCAGAAGAGTAATCGAAATATAGAAGGCATGTTACATGTGGACAGGCTGAACGTGTAAATCAATGTACAAATCCTATAGCAGAAAATGTAAATGTGAATGATCCTACAAACATAATGCGCTTTTGAAGCTTAGGTTTGTTGGCCAGTGTGTTGCATAGATGTGCACCGGTGTTCCAAGTGATCGACTTCATGTAGACACTTAGACACAACAAGATAAGACATGTTCAAGACTCTTAAGACCGACAATGCCTAACCAGTGTTGTAACAACGAGTATGAAATTAAAGATGAAACTTCTAGTGGTATCCAATTGCAGTACTTGAAACTGGTAAATAGGTCGCCTATACAGTAACGTGGTGATAAACAAATCAGTAACTGTGCAAACAAATGAAGTAAGCCTGATTAGCTGATTATGCCTTCAACTCTACTTACGAAGTAAAAGAACGTTTAGCATACGACAGTACTTGTATTCTATGTATACATCCGCACAGTTTACACATATATACATCTCAAAAATGGGTACTCATACACACTGACGTATGTGTACCTATATACAAATATATATATATATATATATATATATATATATATGCATACATACATATTTCACACGCACATGTATCTATGCACATCCAAGTTTTCTAGTATGCTGTGAACAGCCTATGTGAGATTGAAACAAGATTAAGTAACTGTAGTAATTTACGACAATATGATAACCAGTACTATACACTTCATCTGGGGTTTTTCCTGCAAAAAACACAAAAATATCGGCGAAACAATATCGACCTGCATATTTCAGAGACATTTAATGGTCACCGTATTAACAGTAAAAATGGTAGTTACTGTAAAACAAATGGAGCTCAACAAATAATTGGTCGCTGTATCCCGCAGACGCCGATAAGCCGAATTACAAGAGTGACAATGTAACAGCTTTAAACTAGACCAACTGCAGTACTCACACGTACACATGTGCATTGTCTACGAGCCTTGCCGTGAGAGTGCATTGCCCCCCCCAATGTGTGCCACTGACCCTGGGCGCGCACGCGTATTTTGATGTTTTTTTGGGTTGGCAGCCACCTCCAAAAGAACCCCAAAAACCTAAAGAACCAAAAAAATCAAAAAAAACAAAAGAACCAAAAAAAACAAAAGAACCAACAAAAACAAAAGAACCAAAAAAAACAAAAGAACCAAAAAAAACAAAAGAACCAAAAATCCGACACTCTCCGGCCATGGAAATTTCAGTCCAGGAGTCTCTGGCAATTGTTTGTTTTGGTTCTTTTGTTTTTTTTGGTTCTGGTTTTGTTGGTTCTTTTGGTTTTTTTGGTTCTTGTTTTTTTTTGTTTGGTGTTTAGGTCTTTTGTGGTTCTTTTGAGGTGTCATCTGCAGCAAAACTCCGTTATTGCAGGGAGCGTACCTCTCTCATTAAGTATTGCGTAAATGATGCTGAAGCTAGCGCTAAAACTCCTTGACAAGTGCACGCCCAGGGTCCCCCGTTTTGTATAAGAGTGTAGTTACCCCTGCCTTATGTATAACCTTACTTACCAAGTCCCATGATCCTCCAAGTACATTGAAACCCTATCGACTTCAGAGTTTCCATGGCTGGGTCGCAGGCTCGTGGCAAGCCTTCACCTTCCGTCGCAAAGGGCTCGTCTTGCTCGTACCCTAAGGGTCCATGTACTCAAATGGTATATACTTTGGGCCCAATGTACCCATATAGGCAATACTTTAAGGCCAATGCATATACTATTTAGGTAGATGGACCCTTAGGGGTAGTGCTCTTGTCGGGAGACGCAAAAGGATTCAGGGTGCAGGATTCTTGAGAGGTTTCGGTTCAGATGTTGTTTGATGCCCAGTAACCTAGGAATACAAAGCGGGCTCCCTTTTTGGTATTGGGTAACTTTATAAGGAACCTAGGGCCTACAAAAAAGGGAATAAGGGTACTACGGTTGATGATATAAATCCTGCATTACCTTAAGGACCCTAAATATGGGAATTATGGTACATTCCTTATTATGGGTATAATGCAGGATTTATATCATCAACCGTACTGGGCATCCTAGCTTTTTCTTGGGGGGTTTAGGGTTCAGGTCTTTCTGGAGCTCTGGCGTTTTGTAAGGGCACCTCAGGGCTTCGCTAATCTATAAGCATGTTCTTCCCATTTGGAGGACCTCAGACTTAGTTGCTGAGTTCATAAGCCCCCCAAAGTGTACACTTTAATTTTTTATAGTGGGTAATATTATCCCGAAAGTGTAAAGTGTATCCACTCAGCTACTAAGTAGAAGATAGACACAGATACTTCCTCGGATGTGTGTAGGTTGGGGTCTAAGATCCAGCTCGTAGGGCTTCTGGCAGAGGCTTTCCCAAAGGCGACCCCTCCCCACTCCCCACCCGATGCAGTAATAGATCTTGAACCACAAAGACAACGCTAAATCAAGTATATACCTAAACCCTAAGACCCTATCCGCGGTACTTGACATCAGTTTTTTCGGTTCGGCCGTGTAAAAGACAGGGAGTAGTGGGTCGATAGTTCACGGTCTGGTGGGTGGAAGAAGGCTTTGGGATCATGGTTTAGGCTTGGGAATTCAAGGCACGGGGCTCAGGTTTTAGGGCAAACATCTACGCAGCAGCTGAACTTCCATGCAGGGATTGAAGCCACTACAGCTGCTGTATACAAGGAGCTATGGGGCTCGAGGTTGTATCGGCCAGCAAAATACTCAGGAGTTCTGCACGGTTTAGGGTTTAATTTAGGGTTTAGCCCATAGGTTGGAACCCACGTGAAACACTGTAGCTAAACTTTGCCATTGTAGTTACCGCCTTTGGTTACCTTGCAATCGTAGTGTAGGATCCTGGCCATAAGCTTGGTTAAACAACCAAATGAGCTTCGATGGCGACTGGAGGTTTCCACGTCCGAGGGACATCCTTGAGCAGCCCTCCCTGTCCAGTGGCATGATACCCTTTAACCTATAAGAACCTGTACTGTTTTGCAAACCCTGAACCCAAAAAAAACCTAAAACCCTACACCCTAAACAACAGTAAAAACCCTAAACACCCCCAAACCCTACAAACCCTGCAAACCCTGAACCGTGTTATTGAGACCTTCCTGCCTGCGAAAGGATCTGCGCTTCACCGAGCACGAGGGAGTCAAGACCGGAGCTCACCTGCACAGATCAAAGGGGGAGAAGGAGGGACCCTTAGGCTCTTAGGGTTCCTCTAAGAGGATCTATAAGGGTTCCTTTAAAGGGATTTATAGGGTTTAGGGTTAGTTTAATCAAGGGGGAAAAGGAGGGACCCTTAATGGGGAGCCCTACCCCTATAATGGGCTATATAATGGGTATATAATAGCTATATTATGGGTATATACCCAGGGGTCCTTATTACCCTTGGCATAGAACAAACTGACTTTTAGGTGGTAGGGATTTGGGGCTGTAGGGTTTTAGTGTTTAGGGTTTCCGGCTGAGAGTTTAAGGTTTTAGGGTTAAGAGTTTAGGGTTTTGGCTTGAGCGTTGCAGGCTTCTGGGCATAACTAGTGTCTGAATAACTGCTCAGATCACGGCTTGGAGGGTTCCTTTAAAGGGATCTTTAGGGTTCCTAAGGGGCTTCTATAAGGGTCCTATAAGGGCTCTATAATAAGGCTTCTATAGGGCCCTTTTTGGGTACCCTAAATATTTGGGTGTTCTGCCTATAGTTTCCATTGTAGTTCCTTTTTGGGGTTACCTTGTAGGATCCTTAATATATAATTGGTTAAACCAAAAAAAAGGAACTACAATACTCTGAGGCATCAGAGGCATGGGGGTCCATATACACTACTATGATGGAATTAGGCCCCAAAAGACCATCCCCATTATGGTTTTGGGGGCCTAATTCCATAATAGTAGTGTATGCGGACCCTCTTGGAGAGGCATGGGGGGGATGCTGCTGGTAAGCACTGAAGTATTTAGACCCCTGCGTTACAAGGCTTTAAGGTTTAGGATAGATACTCGACTAATCAATCAAGTTCAGTGAATAAAGGGGTGAACGGATATCCTTCGCGACATACGAAGAAGCCCAGACATCCAACTGGCAGGCTTTAAAGTCTCGGAACGAGCCTGGGGGAGATGCCTTCTGAGTTCTGACAAGATTTGGGGTGTAGGGGTCAAACGAGGTTTGCGGGCTTGGGGTTTAGGGTGCAGGTGAGGGTTGCTTGTATCAACGGGTAAAGGCGGGACCCCTAATAAGGACCCCTAGGTATCTACCCATTATATACCCGTTATATAGCCCATTATGGGGTAAGGGTCCCCATTAAGGGTCCCTCCTTCTCCCCTTTGATTGTATATGCCGGTCATGTCTCACTGTCCGGTCGCAGACAACCCTCTGTTGTAAATCAGCTTCTTCGAGGCTCCCATGTAACGAAGACCCTGAATGTTAGTACCCCTGGCTGCTTCAGGTATTCTAGGGGTCCCAAGCAACAAAACACCAAGCCACATAAACCACACGATAAACACTGGATCCCCAACCGTCCCCCGCCTCAACCAATTTCCCAAAGCATTTGGCACAGGGCCCGAAACCTTATCATGTAGGCACCCTTTGATTGGTAGAGTAAACCCGAACCCTAGACCCTAAACCCCTTTGGTTAGCAGAGTATATCACACTATCTGGCTGACTAATTACAGTTTTACACGTGGGCTCTGAGGCCCTAAGGAATCCTGTTGGTAATATAGGGTCCTTCATACTTAGAACAGGGTTCCATACTTATAAAAGGGACCCCCCCCCAAATAGTGTTTAGGCCCCTATAGAAATTCGCCGAAACCCTAGACCCTAAAACCCTTAAATCCCCAAACCCTAAAACCCCCTTCAACCCTAAAACCCTGAAACCCCAAATCCTACATTTCGCCATGCCCCTGTATCGCCCTCGTACCCGTCGGGCCTCAAACAGGTGCTGCGTCGCGGCCTCGCCGCTGTGGCTGAACAGATACGGCTCCAGCTCCTTCCGCGAGAAAGGAAACATTCTAGGAACCTTCCCCTAAGGGTCCAAGTATGTACCTCATGGTCAGTTATTTGAAATTTATAACTCTTCTGAATACTGACCTCGATAGTACTACCCGTAATCCAAGTACCTGATCATTAGGTGCTTTGGACCCTTGGGGTTCTGGTATCCCTTACCTATTAAAGTAGCTCTTATGGGAACGCTTCTTGTATCCCTTCCCTACTACAGAAACCCCTACACGTAAACTTATCGCATCCCTTACGTTATTACCAGAGCGTAGTAACCCTGACATGAAAACTTATGGTATCCCTTACCTGTCATAGAAACTCATACAAGAACCCTCCGGGCATCCCATACCTTATGACCTGTAAAAAGTCACCTTACGGGAGCACTCATGGTATAGAAACTCTTTCGGGAACTCCTATGGTATGCCTTACCTTGATTGTCTACAATAAAAACCCTAACCTACAAACTTATGGTATCCTTCACCTGATATAGTACTATCCCCAAGGTTGCAAAGGACCTAATAATCAGGTACTTGGGTTACGTATAGTAGTTTTGAGGATAGTATTCAGCAGAGGATATGATTGTTAGGTATTTGGACCCTTACGGTATAGGAACCTTTCTAACGACCCTCAGAGACTCAGAGGAAAGGGTTTGCCATGGCGCTGACTGCGGGTTGCTAAACCCTACGGCTCGAAGGACTCATGGTGCTTAATTCCCGAAGGGTCCAAAGGACCCAATAATCAGGTCAGATAGTAGTTATGTAGGTTACCATTTGGGAGAGTATATGGTTATTAGCTACTCGGACCCTTAGAGTTAGAGTTTACAGTATTGAGTGTACCCGAAGTCTCGTAAGAGGGTCTTGGGCTTTTTGGGAGAGGATTTCGCCTTTGGGGGCGAGGGTCTGGGATCTCACTACAAGGGTCCCGGAGACTTCTAGGGTAGCGTTTAATATTGTTTACCTATTGGCGTGGAGTCTCGTGGACTTCACCCTACACCCCATACCCTCACTCCCCGCTGGGACCCTTTACGGAAATTCGTATCATTGGCTCGAATAACCTGAAGCCGAAACCCAGAAACCTTCACCTCGAATGTCCTAGGGTGTCTTGCCTGTTTGGGGAGTACCCTGTGCATCCATCTACCTGTACAGTACAGTATACCCTGTGGCCTTAACGGAGCTCCCATATTCAAGGTCAAGCATAGATTTGGGTTAGATAGGGGATTGACTGGGCCCTCCCTCCCACCCAAAAAACACATCAAAGCTGCTTATATACTAGGAACATATTATGCTCTTATGACAGGTATTGGCCTCGCGGGGAATTCCCGACTTCTGGCTCAAGAAAGCGCGGACGGCCCTGGAGGACAGGTCTCATCGGGTATAGGGTCTCGGGTTTAACGGGCCGGGGGGGGGGGGCTCATAAGCATGAAGGAGGTTTTCGTGGGGATTCGGAAGAGTTGTAAAGGTCGGGCTAGACCCTACCCCTACGTTGCATTGTACCCTGCATTCCTGTGCGTGAAGTCACAGGTCGGTTCCGTTCCTGGTGGATAAGGCTTTGGCTTGGAAGGTTCCATAAAGGTTTGTAATAAGGATTCCTGGTTAGATCCAGAGGGTCCTGGGGAAAGGTCTGGGGTCTAGCAGCTTTGCGCAGGGTCTTTCGGACTTGGGGTTTCGGGTTTGGGAGTATGGTTTGATAAGCTTTGGGTGTATGGGGTTAGAGTTACAGTGGAAGCCAAAAAATTTGGAAACCCCATAGCCTCAATCCGTAAGAGTAACGTATAGGGAGTCCCAGCACGATTTGGCCTTAATCCGGTTTCCGACTTTATGGGGTTTACTGTAGAGCTTCAGGGTTACGGGTTGATGGCTCGGGAGACTTAAGACCCAGAGCCGGCGCTTGAAGTCTGTGGAGTTTACAACGAGTGGTCGTTACCTGGACGCCCAAGGTATGTAGAATAATAGCCTTTGATAGGTTTTGGGCAATTATTTTACCTACTTTTGAGGGTCTAGGTAGGTCTTCAGGTATAGAATTTTGGTGCCCCGAAGTTCAGGGACTTTTGGTGATGAGGGTCCTATATAGGGGGTTTTCTGATGTCGTATGTGGGGATATAAACCCCGACGCGATGCGGTTACCCGATACATCCCTAACCCTAACGCTTGGAAACCCGACCTACTGGAGCAGTGTCTGCAACATGCAATCAACTCTGAGATGGGTTTGCGCATCTCCAGATTTTCCGACAATACTGCTGGTTTACCTGTGGCCCAAAACACCTACCTTTCACACACAACCCTGCAACCCTCAACCCCACAACCCTCAACTTAGGAACCCTCGACTACCCGGTTGAAACACCCCTAATGCCTAAGTCTTAAGTATATCTTAAACCTTAATTAAACCCCTAAAGCCTAAACCCCAAATCCTAAACCTTAAATCCCTGATCCCCAACCCCCACATCCTAAATCCTTTACCCTCTAGGCTACCGGGCTCAACGGCTGCGAACTTCTTGATCTCCGGGGAGGCGAAGTAGAGCTCGAAGCGGTTGCACCTGGCTTAGGTAGGACATGCTTGCATGCATGCAGGTAAGTACATATGTACGCATGCAAAGGTTAATATGGATGTACGTATGTATGTGTGTCTGTATGTATGTGTGTGTATGTATGTGTGTATGTATGTAACTCAGTATGTATGTAATAACTGTGTAAGTAAGGAAGTAAGTAAGTACGAAAGTATGAAAGTATGTCAGTGAGTAAGTAAGTGTGTGAGTATGTAAGTACGTAATTAATTAGTTAATTAAGTAAGTAAGTAAGTAAGTATGTATGTATGTATGTTTACATATACATACACATATCTGTACATGGGCTTACTTAGATAGATGGCTAGAGATATCGGCAGATAGGTATATAGATGGACAGATAGTTACACAGACAGATAGACACAAAGATAGATTATGTAGGGTGTTCATTTAAGCTTCACTTAAGGTTTTCAGAGCTCTGTCGAGCCGTGAGCATCACTAGCACCAGGCATCATGAGCACGAAGTCCGAAGAGGCCGCATGGGAGCCTGCTGAAATCTCACGCGTCTCGTCCTCTGCGAGGACATCTGGAAGCATAGTCTTTTCGAATGTAATTGAGAGTGGACCATTGTTTAGGGGGATCTTTGCTGTCTTTGGAGATAAGTCGGGCTGGCCGTCAACGGGTGACTTTTCAGTGCCGTCGTACTCCGGCGGTACAGGTAGCCTTGGCTCTTGTTCCGTGACATGTCCAACACCGGCCCCGCTGCTGCCATAGGCGACGCGATATCTTCATGAGGAAAGCCAGGAAAGCATCCTTCTGCGTCCCATTTCCGATGAACAACTTCAGTAGCCGGTCGGGGCTTTGGCCCCCTTCCTTCCATGCTGAATGAATGCCTTGCGGCACCTGCAAAGTCCCGTAGGACTTGCGCTCACATAACATAGGGGCCTACGTAATTACCACCCTTGGGCGGTCCTTATTACAAATTATACGATCATCCTATTCTAACTTTGGGGGGTTCCCTATAAACAGTAGTATCATGTACTCCACAACCCTATTCTAACTCTTAGGCGCCGAAGCCGTTGCTTCGCCGCTGTGACACAGCGGGAAAGGGCTCGGGATCAGCAGCAGCCCACGGCACAGAATGCACGGCCTTTTTGAGTCCATGCCAAAGCATCAGGATTCAGGGTTTAGGTTTTTGGGGTTTAGGGTTTAGGGCTTTGTGGTTTAGGATTTGGGGGTTGAGGGTCTAGGGTATTAGGTTCTCTGAGGCATAAGAAGTTGCATAAATAGAATCCAAGCAAATCTCCAGACGCAACACAAAATCACTTCCAATAAACTTCTCCTCGGGTTACTGGAGCCCTCACCTCCGCACAAAATCATGAACTCGAAATCCTGAAATCCTGGAAATACCACAGACCTTAAACTCGAAAACCCACCAAGCGAACGCGAACCCACAAAACCGAGGCAAACTGTAAATACCCTAAACCCCAAAGCTCCCGAAAACCTAAACCCTAAACCTGTCAACCCCTAAACACCAAATCCCAAAGCCACCCGAAAACCTAGACTCTAAAACGGTAAAACCCTAAACGCTAAATCCCAAAGCCACCCGAAAACCCTGAGCCCCCCGGCGTGGAAAGGACGGCCAGTTCCGGCACCAACTGAGCGGAGTGATTGTTGCTGAAACTGAGGGATCTAAAGGGGTTTAGGGTTCCTTTAAAGGGATCTATGGGGGTTTCGGGTTCCTTTAAAGGAAAATTACCTTTGGTTAGTAGGGAATGGAGGAATGGGGTACAATTATAAGAACTACTACTACCATTCTTCCATTCCCTACTAACCAAAGGTAAGGAAAAGGGCGGGGGGGGGGGGGGGGAGCGGGTTCAAGGTTAAGGGGGGCGGGGTACCTTTGAAGGCCTTGAATACAGGGTTTAGGGTTGATAGATGAGGACTCAAGAATCTCCCATACGCCTATGAGGGCCTTCATCATCTTGGCTGTCTTCTTTGAGCTTTAAAGGGTTCTTGTCAAGATATGGTTTTTTGTAAGCTGGTCGTGCGAGATGCACCCTTTTTTAAGGTACCTACTTTTGTATATGGGAGTTTCCCAAAATAATGGGGGACCCCATTATAGTACCCTACATAGTAGGATCCTAATTATAAGGACCCAAGGTAAGGCACCCCTAATTTTCGGAAACTGCCATATAAGAGAACCTAATCATAAAACTAGGAACCCTAAAAAAAGGGGCAGGGTATGACCCACTAGAGATGCTAGTTGTTGGCAGCTTCTGCGACCTTGGAATGTAGGGGCCTTGATAATTAGAATAGGCCTCCTTTAAGGGTCCTTTAAAGGGGTCTATAAGGGATCTATAGTAGGATTATATGATATAGGGGCCTTAATTATTACAATAGGGTCTGGGGGCACATTATACTGTAATGCATTCTAGTAAGGAACTCCCAAAACAGTATTGATAGTTATTTAGGCCCCTATCGTACCTTCCACACCCTCCTGAGACAGTCTTCCGGGCAGCAGGCGTAGCCGTTTGCGGTCTGGCCATACTCCACCAACTCCTGCACAGTGCTTGGGGTTTAGGGGTTCAAGGTTTGTGATGGTTGATGTGGTTTAGGGCCGTGCGGATATCCAGATTCACTCCGAGTGCCGCATAAATGCATTGCTTCGGTTTAGAGTTTAAGGGCTTGCCACGCTCTTCTCGATTTACGGGCTTGGCTGGGGAAGGAACAGCAACTCGCCACTCACGCGGTGGTGCAAACACTTGAAAGGAAGACCCTCGTAACTTAACATCCCTTACAGTTCCCCTACCCTTACTCATTTGCTACCCTTATACCCAGAAAGCCCAATACCCTTCATTAAGGAATATGGCGTAAATTATATAGGGCTTCATATTATGATTTACGCTATATTGCTTAATAATAAGGGGTATTGGGCTCTCTGTGTAGTGCCCCTATATTGCTCTGTTATCTCACAATAACGGACTCCAGCCTGCATGCAAAGATCAAAGTTCTTCAGTCCCTTTCTGCGCAAGCCACATATATATATATATATATGTATATATATATATACACACATAAGTATTCTGGGAACAGAAAACAAAAGCCAACGAAGCCTCATGAACGTGGAACCCTTACATACTCCGTCAACAACCGAAAAACGAAAGGTTAAACGTTCAGACTAACACCAGAGAAGACACCAAGTACTGGAGATCGTAGTAATACAAGCCCATACAGGTTGCGATTTCATCGGGTGGCATCTCCGAACAGGTTGTTTACTTTCACCCGACTTGTCCCTTTAACAATGCACTGGGTTGTTCTACTATTGTTATATGGGGTTGCATAGAGGGCCGGTTGTTCTCAAGTAGTAAAGCCCTGACAAGCAGGGTGCCAAGATGCAAACCCACCAGACCTGTAAGTGTAGTTGAAGTTTGCAGTGCCGGGCGAGTCAGAGAGTAGAACGTTGACAATCCGCAGCAACAGCATCGTCCGCATTCTACAACCTTGCAATGAAGATCGATGATGGACTCCAATGCCGTCTGGAACCCTGAGCAGCTTCTTCGGCAAAGGCAAATGCGATGCAAACGCGTCCCAAATTCTGCACTTCGCCTATCTACACCTACATATGCATGGAGGGGGTAGCTTGTGCCAGTTGCCCATGGTAGCATCAAGATACGCCAGATACGCTGCTTGCAAGTAAATGCGCTTGCACATATTGACATCGAGATGCTTCGAACAACTACTCTTGATCAGTGCTTCCTGTTCAGATGCCAAGGAAGTTTGCAGTGTGAAAGACTATATGGAACCTCTGTGCGACTCTAATATAGGGGCCTTAATAAATAGAACAGGGTTTTGGGGGCCCATTAAATCATTATACTATAACGATACTAAGGAGCCCCCAAAATAGTATTGGTAGTTGTTTAGGCCCCTATACTAAATCCATTTATATATGTATCCCTTATGGTAACCCTTATAACAAACCCTTTAAAACTACAGTGCAAGCCCTGGTCAACTCGGCGTACATCGTGAAAAGTAAAGGGTTTCAGGGTGTACGGCTTAGTTGAAATCTCACGGGAAGCCGCTCTCATGTGCCAGCAGCGCTTTCCGGGCCCATTTGGTGTGGCCAATCTGAGACAGATTTATGGGTCGTACTAGATGGGTCACACAGTAGATTAATAGGGCCGTGGATTGAGGGCTTAAGCTCTGGTTTCGGTTTCGATGGGAAAGGGCCTGTACTACCTCTGTCAACAGCCTGACTTGTAGCGATGCGCATGACTGAGCATTGGCTGGTTATAGGCTCGTTGCAGGTTGTGGGAGGACTTGGAAAAAGTAGACTACGGGACTACACACTTTCTACTGCCGGGGCATTCGAGAATCATCTCTAAGAGATGAACACCCCTAATCCACGAACCGGAACCCTAAACCCTACCTATAGGGTCATACCCTACCCCTTTTTTAAGGTACCTAGTTTTCTATATAAGAGAACCTAACCATAAAACCAGGTACCCTAAAAAAGGGGTAGGGTATGACCCTCTAGGTAAATCCTACACCCCAAGCCCGGAACCGGTCTTGGCTTCAACCTAAGCCATGAGCCCTAGACCGGAAGCCGTAGCTCATCTGACCCTACCTATAGTCTCCATTGTAGTTCCTTTTTGGGGTTACCTTTTAGGATCCTTCATATATGAATGGTTAGACCAAAAAAAGGAACTAGAATGGGGACTATAGGTACTATAGTAACTATACCCTAAACCCTAAATCCTAAAGATCCCTAGGAGCCCTTATAGATCCCTTTAAAGGTAGGCTCTCAACGCCCTCAACTCTTCGGCCCAAGCTCACCTTCAAACCCCGTAACAAAGAGGCCTGAACAATTAGGAGTAGTACGGTTGATCATAAGAATCCTGCATTACCTTAATGACCCTGAACTATGGGAATTACCGTATGGTATATTCGTAATGCAGGATTTATATCATCACCCGTATCACCTTGTAGCTTCCGGATACGCACACACACTCTATAAGATAATGACCACCAAGATCCGAGTAAGCATGCGAGCCACAAGACCTGGCACCGTGCAACCCCTAAACCCCCAAAGCCTGAAGACAAACGAAGCCCACAGAACCCCCAGCCCGAAACCTCGAACCCAATAAACCCCTGCCTAAACCCTAAAACCAAAACAAGCACAACCACCCACGGAACCCTAAACCTTACAAGGAGACCACACCCTGTAATAGTGGTATAATAGACATAAAATCGGGCCCTAATATAATCCTTATAGTCACTATTACAGGGTGAGGGCCTCTTCTAACCTGAACCCTAAAACAAAAGACACAACACACACCGACCCCATAGGACCGAGCCTTACGCCATCGACTTGGAGCCTCTGAGACCCTCCTAACTCTGTAAGATCATAGGCCGCCAGAGCCCGACCGAAACCGGACCTTAACACCTAAACCCTATATCTCTAAATCCCAGAATCCCTGCATCCCTAAATCCTTGAATCCCAAAATCCCAGATCCCTGAATCCCTAAACCTTAAATCCCAAAATCCCAGTATCCCTGACTCCCTAATAAACCTAATAACCCTGAAAGGCCCTGAACCCTAGCCTGAATCCCTGACTCCCTAAGACCCTGGACACCTCAGAAACCACCAGGACCCCCCAAAGGCCCTTTAATAGAGCCCTTGTGGCATTCAATAGTGGGTATTTGGAATATGTTGGAGGGTCGCTGCAAACCCTAAACCCTAAACTCTGAACCCTAAACCCTAAACTCTAATCCCAGAATCCCTAAGCCCCTAAACCCTCATAGTAAGGAGCGTTTGGGATTCCACAGCCCGGGGCCTTCGGGCCAGCGATGCGTTTTGGGAGCCCCGCCTTGGAGCACAAAGGGCTTGTACGAATTCTTAGTTGCTGAGTTGGTTTAGGGTTTAGGGTTTAGGGTTTAGGGTTCATAAGCCCCCCAAAAGTGTAGACTTTGAGTTTTATAGTGCGTAATAGTATCCCAAAAGTGCAAAGTGTATCCACTCAGCTACTGAGGATTTATACGGGTTTAGAGCTTAGGGCTTAGGGTTTTTCGAGTTTGGGGTTAAGAGTTTCGGGCTTAGGGTTTCAAGTTTGGGGTTGGCAGTTTCGGCTTAGGGATTAGGGTTTAAGGGTATAGGGTTTAAGGGGTTTAGGGATTATAAGGTTTAAGGGTTTAGGGTCAAGGGTTTCGGTATGTTACATACTTCTGCAAAGGTCTTGGGGCTTTTGGTTTAGAGCTTGCGGTGGTGAGTTTAGGGGTCAGGGTCCATGTACCTACATAGTACATACTGCGGCCTTCCAATACCTACATTATAGGAGGCCTCCTAAGTTCATAGTCTGTACTATAGGACTACATATATATATATATATGTATAAATCGGTACATGGAGCCCTATTCCAATTATTGAGGTCCCTATATTACACGGGTCTGTCTCTCGGCTCTCAGTTGGCAGTCGGCTGGCGCCTGGAGCCTACGTACACACCCTCTACATTCTAGTATCCTGACCTAGACCCTCAAAAGTAGGTAAAATAATGGCCCAAAACCTAGCAAAGGCTATTATTCTACATACTTCTGGAGTCAAGGTCAGGGAAGTCCCAGGGGGGGGTAAATATCCCAGTGATCCCCAGTTCTCCCTAGTGCCCCCCAAGGTTCCCTCAGCGGCTTTTTAAGGATTCCTTGTACCCTTCCCCCTTGAACCACCTTCCCAGAGAGCCCAATACCCCTTAATTCCTTAATTAAGGAATATAGCTTAAATCATAATATGAATCCCTATATAATTTAAGCCATATTCCTTAATTGAGGGGTATATTGGGCTCTCTGGGTTCCCTGTAAGAATCCTATAATCTACAGGTCCGAGACCCTGAACCCTGAGCCCGAGCCCTAAACCTACCCTTTAAGGGTTCCTTTAAGGGTTCCTATAAGGGTTCTATAAGGGTTCCTATAAGGGTTTAGGGTTTAGGGTTTAAGGGTCCATCTACCCGAATAGTATATACTTTGGCCTTAAAGTAATCCCTTTTTAAGTACATCGGGCCCAAAGTATGTACTGTTTGGGTACATGGACTAATAGGGCTTTTGTTTACCATTTTGAGAGTTGGGCCCGAAACACTGATTTAGAGCCTGAGAGTGAGTGCTCTGAACCGCAATCCCAATCCTAGACCCTAACCGTAAACCTTACTGCCTGAGCCCCACAAGTAGAGAGAATGACAAACAAACACAGCATGCTACATTCTTCATAGGGCCCTTCTAATGACCCTTATAGGTCCCTTTTAAATCAAACCCAGGAAAAGGTGTCCTAGATACGGGAGTTTCCGAAAATAGGGGTACCTTATTTAGAGGTCCTTGTAATTAGGATCCTACTTAGGGTACTATATTAGGGTCCCCGATTCTCGGAAATCCCCATACCCATCACCCAGTCCAAGTGGCCGGTGAAAGCTGCAACTGCGAGGCGGCGTCGGCCCTAGGGTGCAGGGTTGTCTTGTTTTCCCACACCCTAAACCTCTAAGTGTCCCTAAACGACCTCTCAACCCCTAGCCCGTAAACCCT